TGGTGGTGGAGGGGATCCCCATTACCTGTAAAGCGCTTTGAGTGGAGTGACCTGAAAAGTGCTATATAAGTGTAAGCAATTATTAAATTATTATTATTAAACTGGCTCAGTTTATTCGGTCAGTCAGGCACATTGGAGAAATCTTGCTTTCTTATGTTTTGCTCATTCCGTGCAGCCACGTTTTCATGCTGTGATTGCACCGTACCCATAGAGGAAATAGGGGCTCTCCACAGCGACATAGTTTCTTGATTATGCCTTTATGAATAACTTTGATACAACTCATTTATTTTTTAGAGGGGCATTACAGCAACACATTGGGGTAGATCCCATTTTAACTGGCAGCAAGGATTTCTTCTCTGGGCGGAAACGCAAAGCAGTTTTCAGCTTCACGAAACCCTAGTTGTTTACTTTTACTTCTTTGGGTTTTTCTAGCTTTCAAATTCCTCCTCAACGATGGAACACATACCGGAATAAACAGAACTGTCCAAGCCCATCTGCACTGTAGTCTGAAAGCGACACAGATACGTTATTTATAGCGTGACTGTTGGGTGGCTCAGCCCTTGCTCGTTTCTCATTCATTTCTGCCTAATTAGTAACAAAATTAATGATCAACTTGAATCAAAACGGAGAATTGATGGTTCAATTAAGTTAATTCAGAAGATTTTAAACAGGTATGGAGGCCGAGTCACTCAGATTGCAGGGATTAAAACATTTAATTATGTACAGTACTAATTAGCAGGTGATCTGTGAAATTAAGTGCCTCAAAGGTGGTTAATCTTTCCACAGATTCATTGAAGCTTTATTAAGTACATTGCTATCATTACTGAGCTTTTTGAAAATGTTGTTTTTGGAATACAGACTAAAAATTATGTTGGCTCGAATGATTTGGATAAATACCCTCTAGAGAGATTTGATAGCGGTAATGTTTTACAGCAAACCTTGGATCAAGGGTCTCCTGAGTTCTGCAAGTCTCCCGAAATCACATTTATATAGATATGTGACACTTGTAATATATGCATCCATTAAGCAAGGAATGTGTTCAGATAAGAGTGGAAAGGTATTCAGATTTTTATTCCAGATGACCTCGGGATTTAACAAGCGTCCTGGTTAATAGTAAATATATTGTCCACTAGCTGTAGAAATTGGTGGTTCATGTAAGAGAGGAGCAGACCGTGGTGCACTGGATAGCACTGGGATGCAAGTTCAATTCCGAACCTGGAGTGCTATCTGTGTGGAGTTTGCATGTTCTCCCTGTGTTTGCATGGGTTTCCTCCAGGTGCTCGGGTTTCCTTCCACAGTCCAAAGACATACTGGTAGGTGAATTGGCTTCTGGGAAAATTGCCTCTTGGCATGAGTGTGTGTTTTTGTGTCTGTTCTGCGATGGACTGGCGTCCTGTCCAGGGTGTATCCTGCCTTGTGCCTGTTGCTTGCTGGGATAGGCTCTAGCCCCCCTGTAACCCTGAATTGGATAAAGTTCTTAAAAAATGGATAGATGGCTTTAATGTAATGTTCACTTATAGAGCAGGCAGGGACCACCAACAGGCTCAGCCCAGCAGGTCACCTTTAAATCAACAGTCTCTAAAGATTTATCTATTCAGCATATGGTCTGAGGAATTAAAATTCTGGATTTTTAACAGTCATCACAAGTTCTGTATCTCGAACAGATGTTCGAACCCTGTTAGTCACCTGTTTTTAAAGATAGGCAATACTGACAGTATTGACGTACTTAGATCTTGGTCCTAAACCCTCTCTAAAGTACATAAGGGTAGTTACAACTATACATATCTCCATTTTAAAATGTGGTTTGCAAGTCCGTGCTAAAATTGATTGTTTTTGAAAGACAAAGAAAGGGTTAAAAAGCATACACGATAAATAGAGTATTTAGCAAACAAGAAAACACAGGAGGTGATTGTTTTCATAATCTTAAGAATTTTAGGTGGAGTTAAGTGGAGTGCTCCAGCCTCTAAAAATCTGTAATTATTCTTCAGTGATGCAGTGGTTATTTTTTAGTCAGACTGTGTAATTAAACATTAACGAATACCTTAGCGGTGAATTAAGGGATAGTCTTCAACGCAGCTGCTTTTTATCATTGTGAGCACTTCTGTAAGTAGCAGATTATTTATAGTTGAGTTAGCTGAAGAGTACATTTTTTTGGTGAGCAGGGCATAACTGATTCGCCACAGGTGGCACAAGTGGCAACGTCCCATAACCCAGGTTTCCGTTTCTGTTTTCTCTGCGCGTCTTTCCCAGCTGTACCAAAGAGCCGACCGCCCCGCCCCCTCCTCGGCCAGGCCCCGCCCACCCCTCCCGGCGTGCCACAGACGGACAGCGACCGAGCTGAGCTCCGCCCACTACGGCTCCGCCCCCGCGCCCCGCCTCCTCCGCCAAGCTGTCGGACATGTCGGGACCTGTACCGAGTAGGGCCAGAGTGTACACAGATGTCAACACACACCGGCCGCGCGAGTACTGGGACTACGAGTCCCATGTGGTGGAGTGGGGGTAAGTCAGCTATATCACCCTGCATCTCACAAGCTCAGCAGGTGTTAGACTCCTGCTGGGAAAGCTAAGGTTACGGCTGGAAGACGTGTTAGTGGGACCAGTAGGGGGCGCTCACCCTGTGGTCTGTATGGATCCTAATGCCCCATTATAGTGGCGGGGACACTCCTGCAAAAAAAAAAGGTGCCGTCCTTTGGATGAGACATTAAACCGAGGTCCTGACGCTCTGTGATCATTAAAAATCCCAGGGCGGTTCTTGAAAAAAGTAGGGGTGTTACGCTGGTGTCCTGGTCAAATTCCTCCCTGGCCTTGACCTGTCATGGTCTCCTAATAATCCCCATCTCTGAACATGTTTCATTACTCTGTTCTCCTCCCCACTGATAGTTTGGAACTCCTTGTTAATTCACTCCATTGGGAGTGTCTGTGCTGCACTGGTGACCTCAAGCTCACTGGGATAAGGTTCAGATAAAGGTAGCATTTTTATTGCTGTTTACAAATGCCAACATCTATAAAAAGTGATGTGTGTGTATTCGTCCTCAAACCTGATGATGATTCCTTAATGATGTGCATGTATTTCAAATAAATCTGTCACCTTGAGTTCATGCTCTGTCCTGTTTTTGGAAGTCCAAGCTGCTTACCAGAAATGGAGCAAGAGCTTCCTTTTTGGTCAGGAGAGTGAAAGTTATTACATTAGCAATAGCAAAATCAGGTGCAGTCTGTTGGGCAAGTATGCCATCAGTGATTGACAGCAAACCAAAGAACCCGACTGAGCAGAAGTGAAATATGTGACGGTATTCTTTGAACTGTAAGGAAATGTAGAAGACGTTTTTCTTGTCCAACTTGTAATGCGTTACAAACCTGACAAACTTTTCAAGTTGCTTTTCAGTTTGAGTGTTTATGAACTCGATCAGATTTTATTTTCACCCGGAAGAAATGTTAACCGTTCTACCGAGCTAACAATGTCGCTGATGTCTGGTTTTGTTCTTGCAGTAACCAAGACGACTACCAGTTAGTACGGAAGTTAGGCAGAGGCAAATACAGCGAAGTCTTTGAAGCAATCAACATCACAAATAATGAAAAAGTAGTTGTGAAAATACTGAAGGTAAGATGGTGTCAAGCTCTGAATAATTGTATTGCTGTCCGTACTTTTGTACTTTGTGACTGACCTTTTGATGGGTGATTGAGCACAGGTTGGAGCCATTACAAGTTGTTTGGCATTTTTTTAAAGAACATAATGTCAAGACTTCTTTTAGGAAAGACAAATATTCCAGGTAAAATCAAACAACGTTCTCAAAGTTTTCCTCAAAGAATGTCGAGAAAAAAACAGCTTTGTGGACAATTCACTGAAGCATGCTCTTTTCCAGTTTCCAGGAACTATAAATAAATATTGAAGTAGCATTTTAGACTTTGCTTTAGCATCTGAGTGACCATCGGATTACTCACATTGTCTGGTAACTGATGGTATCAGTCTTTCACAACATTTGCTCTGCACGTTCACAAATGTAGGTAGAGCAAAATGTCTTATTACATGCCTGGCTTTTCACTAGCATAAAACCTTGCAGATGTCTTGTATAACCTCGGTTGAAGCAGTGATCAGTGGTTTGCTGGATTTCTGTGGTTGTTTGCCATTATCTGCTTCAAATGGCCAGTGCATCACATGTGCTTTTATAGTCTGAGCTGTTAAAAACAACATTTTGAAAGGGATGTACTGTAATACCCCTGTTTCCTTAAACCTCTTTTGTCATCAGCTGACGACAGCAGTTGAGAGCTCCGGTGCGTGCTTCGGTCTTTAATCTGACAAATCCTGTCTCCGCAGCCAGTAAAGAAGAAGAAAATTAAGCGCGAGATTAAGATTCTGGAGAATCTGCGAGGAGGCCCCAATATAATCACTCTCCTAGACATCGTCAAAGACCCTGTGGTGAGTGACATAGGGGCAGGACAGTTATCTGTGGTTTTGGACGCAGCGATTAATGACAATTCACCATCCACACGATGAGAGTTATGCTGTTACAGCTGCACATGATTAGTAGGAAATGTGCATAACATAGCAAAATATCTGTTGTTTTGCCCTTCGTTGGGGCCCTGAAGTTTCCATTAAGACTAGTTGTCTCCAGCAAGGCTGGTGCTTTTTCTAGGCTTCTTTAAAACAACAGCACCTGAAGACATGAGAACAACTTGAATAGGTCCTGTTAAGATAGTAACATTATAGTTTAGCTTAAGTGTCAATTTGGAACCCGGAGATGCAGTGACTGTTCAGGACCGGGATTGAATACCCTTGATTTCAATCTCAAGGTGTGCTGTGAATTATGGAAAGATTATGCTTCCATTCAGATTTTGCAGTGAGATAGCACTAGCAGTGTAGCAGTAGTTGTAAAGCATTGGACTTTAGAGTTGCTTGAAATTATGTTCCATGGAGCATTTAAACCTGTGTTCTCTACCCTTTGACATTTAAATTATGAAAGAGTGTTTTTTAAGACCCCTTAGCATTTATTTTTTTCACATGCTTTTTCAGATCATTAGTCATTTATTTGTAGTAACAATGTTGAGGTATGTGTAGCTTATCCCAATCTTTGGTCACAGTAACTGTAAGATGCTTAGAATTTTCAGGTCACACCCCTTAGTCTATTAAACTGTGCATTTTCAAATTTCTATAATTTATCATTTTAACAGGGAAGCTCCTAAAAGTCATGTAAAGGATTGTTTGCAATTGTATGCCTTTTTTAAGCATATCATTATAAAAATGGTTAATCCTGAACCTCTGATCTTGTATATTATGGATGTGTAAGTTTTACCCATTTAGAATTTAAATAATGCCTTTTCTCTCTTAATTTTCTTCAGTCAAGGACACCTGCTTTGGTGTTTGAACATGTTAACAACACAGATTTCAAGGTAAATCTTTTATTCTTTACAATTCGGCAGCGTTCTGATTAGCCTTTAAGAGAAGGAAGGTTGTATTTCATGAAGTCGTATAGCAGCACTGTCAGCAGCCCCTTAAGAATTGTTACCAATGAGAGGAGTTCTGAGACCATTCAGCCCTGGTTAGTAGTTAACTGATTTTTCGAGATCTAATCCATCCGTTTCTTTAAAGAAAACAGGGTATTGGCTTCAACAGCATGTCTAGGTGGCTTGTTCAAAGCTCCCTCAAACCTTTGGGTAAAGAAGTACATCCTATTCTCAGTTTTAAATACATTAATACTTTTTTAATTAACTTCCACTGTGTTTTAGGCAGTTCCAATGTGTTTCTATCATATCCTTTGAAAGTTAAGCGAAGCTCGTCTGTGTCGTCTCTCGTGAATACTCCTAGGGTTTTCGTTATGGTATGAACCTAGTTTTCCACACATGAATTTCTGACAGGGTCATTATGAAACTGCTAAACAAGCGGCCCTTTGCGCTAAGGGAGTTTGCCATGTCAAGTACAAGATCATGGTCCTCCCTGCCCTTGGGGTCTGTCAGTTTCGTTAAAGGTCTCTGGCTGTCAGAACCTCCCAGAAATTCCCATGACATGTTGCGCTGCGCGATTACACATTTTTTTAAAATAAACTTGAAGATTTCCAGCTCAATGAAGCGACTAAAACAACTGATGAATGTATCTCAGAGGAGGTGCAACACATTTTCCTGTAGATATAAAAAAGTGAAGAGAAGTTCATTAGCGTTTAATTCAAAGTCTCAGTATAAATCTGCTTGACTGAGCGGAAATGTGGCGTAGCACAGCTGCACTGGTTTCTATTTATTCATTAATTTCAGTCCCCAGAACATCGCATGAATCCCCTTTTAACTCGTAAAAACATTGCTTCTGGGTCAGTACAGTTTCAATATCTTTGTGTTTTAAAGGACTGAGTTATCCTTTCAGACTTTATCGCTACAGGGATATGAGCACTTTCCTGTTTACAGTGATTCTGCTAAGAGACCTGTGCATGCTGAAAGGACCAATAACCTGTTTTTATCTTTCTTTAAGAAAGAGGCATATCATGATGCACAGTTCCATTCATTGACTTGTGCGTACTGTATGAACCCTGTCAGCATTGCAGTGGGTTGAGTGCAGTGAAATAGAGTGGAAACAAATAGCTTAGTTCAAAATGAGGATCTGACATTTTAGCCCAGAGCGACCAAGATAGTTTGTTCCACTCTGCAAGTCAGAGTAGCTGAGCAGCATTTTCTGCTCTTGATTCTCAAATGGGCAGGAGATTTTGTCTTTTAATGTCAGCTTGGTATTTCATTTGAAACTCGATTGGTTAAAATATATCTTCATTTTCTCTTAAACGATAAAATGTTGTGATTGTCATTCTCAGATGCATTGCAGTTTTACCTATCCATGTATAATACATACCAATACGTCACAAAAGAAATCCAATATTTTCTCAGTTGCTGTAGAAAATGGAAAACACCTTTGGTCTTATCCAAAGTGAGAGTAACATGTTTCTTTTTTGTCAACCAACAGCAGTTGTATCAGACCTTAACGGACTACGACATAAGATTCTACATGTACGAGATCCTAAAGGTAGGTGTGGGATTGACTTCTTGGCAAGAGACCTCAAATTTAAGATTAATTTCTTCATGTTTTGTATGAACCTGAGCACAAAACAGCTTAGGGATTTTCAGCAGTGGTCTGGTCAGGGGTCAGAGCTGAAAGGCTGTGACCCAGTCCAGTTTTGAAGAACCGCATCCCTGCAGGTTTTCTATTTGTCTCCAGTTGTTAAGGCTTGAAACTTAGCGGTGCCAGTTAGGAAATCTTTAGAATAGACTAGTTATTTGGTCACTTCTAAAACACTCATCTGCAAAAATGATTAGTTCACTAAGTATATGAACTCAGGAGTGGTCCTAGTACAGATCTCTGTGGCACTCCACTGATTACATAACCCCTTATATGTGATATTTTTTATGTCAACCAATACTATTAACACGCATTTCCCCGAATGCATACAGATTGTAATTTGAGAATTCCTCATAAAATTATAACCTTATAAAAAGACTTAAATATAAAAAGCACAATTGGAATGAGAATAAGAAGTCCAATGTAGCTCTTGAGGACCAGCCTAACAGAAGTCATTTAAAATCCCTTCTGATAAGTTAGGATGAACTATCTTTCCAACTATATTAATAGAGCCCCTGCTTGGCTATGCATCTTGGTCACCGTAAACGTGGTCATATTTGGTGGACACTTTTGTGCAAGGCAACTTCCATTTGTTTCCACTTCCATCTGTTGCTCCACCTGGGATCTGAACTCGGAGCCCTCACCGGTAATTCCCAGTGTCATTTCAACAGAGCATCAATGTTCAGTTTCCAATTCAGGTTGGAGTTTGGGAAAACTCGAGAATAGTTTTATCAGCAAATCAAAATACCTGTTGAATCTCACAGGAGTCCATCAAGTCAGGGTGATAATGACAATATACATGACAGTATCTCAGCAACAGATAGGATGTTGGTAGTGGTTTCTTTTGTTCCTGTAATTGTTCAAGTGCTCCCTGCTTTCACAGGCTCTGGATTATTGCCACAGCATGGGCATCATGCACAGGGATGTCAAACCCCACAATGTGATGATTGACCATGAGCACAGGAAGGTAACTCCGTCTCTTTCTTGTTTGATAATGTTTCATCCTTGGTGCAACTGCTCAGGAGTACTAGGCATTCAGGCGGGACGGAATATATTTTCTCCATTATTTCAGTTCTTGTAACTGTTGATTAGTCTTTCTTGGGGTTTGAGGAAGGAAATTCACGCCCCTTCCTCCTTACAGAACTCCTTCAGCTCTGTTACACCTGAGAGCTGCCTTGCACGGACAGCTCACCTGAGGTCTTGCCACAATATTGCAGTGGCTTTCAGCTCCAGACTTCTGTAAAACACTGTTAAAAACATGGAATGTCTTCTGCTGCAGCCATCCTTCTGTTGATCTGCTTGTATGTTTAGGGTCATTGTCTTGGTTGCCAGATCCACTTTTGGTTCAAGTCATGGATGGCTTGACGTTCTCCTCTAAACAAACTTTTTTAAGGTGTGTCTTCGTTTGCACCTTTGGGGGGGGGAATGGAGACAATAGATTTTGAGAACTTCATGTTAGTTGGTTTCTCAGTGTTGTTTTCACACTTCCATCACTGTGCTTCATGGGTGGGATGAGGTTCTTCTCTTCAAAAGCAGTGTTGGCTTTTCACTGATTATACCATTACTCTTTGAGGCCAAAGAACTGCACCTTTGACTTGTCTGTTCAGTAAGCATTGTTCCATAAGATCATCTATGTGCTCCTTTGAGAACTTCAGATGAGTAGCAGTGCTCTTTTTGCAGAGCAGGGGTTATCTCCTTCCATGAACTCCATTCTTGTTCAGTCGTTTTCTGATAGTTAAGTCAGGAACCGTCACATTGGCCAAGATTAGAGTAGCCTGCAATTCCTTGGATGTTACCCTGGGGTTCTTTCCTTGATGATTTCCAGTTTGCTCTTGGAGAGATTTTGGTAGGACATCTGCTCCTGAATAGAGTGACATTTCTCCATTTGTCTGACAGTAGATTGACGGAGCCCAAAACCCTTAGAAATTGTTTTGTAACCCTTTCAAGGCTGATGAGCATCAATAACTGTTTCTGAGGTCCCTAGAGATTTCCTTACATTGTGGCATGACTTGTTTTCACAAACCTGTATGGTGAAGACCAAACTTATGATGTTTCCGATCTTTATAAGGGCGGAACCTTCCAATCTCAGTTTAATAAACTTTGGGGTTCAAAAACGTCTTCTTGGCACCATCATTTTGCCCTATTAAATCACTCTGCACTTGGTTTGTAGCAGCCACAGTTCGTGGACAGTCTTTTATTTTTTTACCTTTAGTCTGCTGTTAAGTCCGGTTTTTCCTGTTAATGCCATCAAGAGAAAATTGGTGTTGTCGATAAAAGGCTTTCCTTGTGATTAGCTGCTGCGAATAAAACCTGAAATCCTGGTTATGTTCAGATTTCCTCTCCTGCCAAGTGCTTCAGATTCTCACATTCCTTCCCACACAGAGCTGATAAACCAGACAAGAGATTCCTGCAGCTGGTCTTCTGTCTTTTAAATGTGAATCACCCACAGTGTCTTTCTAACCCCTTTCGTAAAAAGCACCATCCAAACTATAATTGTTTCCTGCAGCTCAGATGCTGCACAAATAGTTTTACAGCTGTACCATGCACATGTGCTAAAATGTTTGTGTTCCCTAGTGTTTAGCACTGGGTCTCTGCTTCAAATCCAGCTGTTCATCTCTTTGAAAACGAGTGTAGTACCTTGAAAGCTTTTTTGGATGTTTATTGAATAGATCTGTGAAGGCAGTCTGATTGGTATGGATCTCTCCTGCCATCTTTCATTTTCAGCTTTTTATCGATGTCCTGATCATACCCTGTCAAAATATTTGACACCGACTGGCTGATATTCATTTGGTGTTTATCTGTGCATTTCTGCAGTTGAGGCTTATCGACTGGGGACTGGCTGAGTTCTACCACCCTGGGCAGGAGTACAATGTGAGGGTCGCCTCTCGCTACTTCAAAGGCCCGGAGCTCCTTGTAGACTATCAGGTGAGATGGACCGTGTTGTTGCTGTTAGAACAGGCTCAGATTTGCTTGGTTCTTCTGACTCGTAAATATAGCTGAGAAAAATACAGCTCTGATGTGATCCATGTTTCTGATGTTTGACATGAAGTACAGCTCAGGAAAACAACTGAACACTTTTCTTGGTGAAGGTCATCCATAGCTGCACATCTGCAATGTGATGGTTCATTGTGCTTTTCATGCCATGTTTTATGCCTGTTAAGCAATAAGAAAATGAAAAAATAACTTATTTACAGGCAAAACTTAAATCTTGTTAAAATGCAAATCTGGCACCTGCTTTCACCTAAGGAAAGAATGCAAAACAGTTCTGTTTTGACTTGAGGATTGAGATTTTTTTTATAGTGTTGCGGGTTTGTTAATAGACTTTCCTTGTTGTGCTGGAGGCATTCAACGAATAACCACTGTTTTAGCAAAAAAAACATTCCTGGTCTATTAACCAAGCCCACGTAGTGTTCGCCCTTTGGTCAAGGTGAATATTTTTATCTGGTGCAGATGTATGACTACAGTCTGGATATGTGGAGTCTGGGCTGCATGCTGGCGAGTATGATCTTCAGAAAGGAGCCCTTCTTCCATGGCCACGACAACTACGACCAGGTATGCTTGGAAGTGCCCCCACACACGGTTTCTTCCCCCCAGCAGTCCGCATCATAAACAGCTCAAATTAGCACCTGCACTTTAAGGTACTGCACTGTTTGCACTATGTCCTGGCTTGGCTGTATTATAACGTCTGTTGTCTTAAGTTTATTGTCCATGTCTGTTTGTCATTTGTGCCTATTTTTTTTTCCCTAATGTTACTGGGTACAGCTGAACGAGTAAGCATTCCAATACACTTGTTGTATATGACAAATAAAGAAATCTTGAATACAGGAGTGCAGTAACAGTCATGCTAACAAGACCCTGTGAAGGGGTATAGAGAGAGATCTAAAGCCACGTCCTGTTCCTTAGGAACTATCCATCCATCCATTTTCTGACCTCTGTATACAGTTCAGGGTCGCAGGGGAGCTAGAGACTATCCCAGGAACCAGCAGACACAAGGCATTCACTGCAGGACCAGTTCCGTTGAAGCCAGTTTAGCCGACCAGTCTGCCTTTGGACTTTTGGCACAATTGCTTGATTTGTGAAGGGACGGGGAAGTACGTTTTTCAGTAATGATCCCTCTAGGACAGAACTGGAGCAGAGTAGTGTCTCATTTTGCCTGTTCGTGTCCAAGTCATTACCTTTACAGCTCTAAAACCGATTTCAGCAGCATTTGACGTCATCTGAGAAGAAAACGGGGAAAAATGACATTGAAGGAAGGTGGTGGGTGTTTCTTGTCCACCTACAAAAATGGTTTCGTTTTGTTTTTCCTCCACAGCTGGTGAGAATAGCTAAAGTCCTGGGGACTGAAGACCTCTACGATTACATTGACAAGTACAATATAGAACTGGAGCCTCGGTTCAATGACATTTTAGGAAGGTGGGTTTTTTTAATTGTCACAGTGAAAACACTGTGCAAAACCGTCTGTGTGTTTTGAAGCAGTGTGAAACCTAGAAAAATTCTTCTTTCCTTCCTGGAAATCTCATCTCCAGTCCCCGGGGACAGAAGAGTTTTCTGGTTTCTGTTCTTCCTGAACAGAAACATTTAGCATATGAAATATTTAACTAATTTTAATATTGAAATATGTAACTGTGTGCCATCATTGCGAAGCCGGGCTATTTTGAATGGATTAAAAGCCTTCGGGGCTACTGGAAAACAAATTGGTCCTCCGTTTTATCATTTGAGTTCATATGTAGCACTTCGTTAATTTTATCGTGTCCCAGATCTGAACGTGATGGTGAATCCGATGGTTTGTCTGTTGATACTGTCATTATGCCTCTCCAGCGTGACTTTATTTCTGCCTTGAACAGTGCTCTGTGCACACTCACCCTCCAAGTATAAACTACACATGTGAGATTCACCTTCCCTTCACTTACAGACTCTCTCATTTTTCTCTGTTGGCACGACACCTTCATTTTAATTGTTAATTGTTCAAACCCAAGCTCCAGATGAGTAGGAATTCTGAGTGAGAACATTCGGCCATTTTGGGGGATGGGGAGAGTTGCACTTAGCCTAGTTAGCCTTAAATTGAATGACCAGATCAAGAGCGTGCGAGTTCAGTTGGAATAAAAACTGTAGTGGCTATGGAATGCGGCAGACTGGACCTCGAGACCAGAGCTCTCCCTTTCATGTACGGTCTGCGGCCCGTGTAAGCTCACCTCTGCCTGAACTGTCTTGTCTCCCAGGCACTCTCGCAAGCGATGGGAGCGCTTCGTTCACAGCGAGAACCAGCATCTGGTCAGCCCTGAGGCCCTGGACTTCCTGGACAAGCTGCTGAGATACGACCACCAGGCGCGGCTGACGGCTCGCGAGGCGATGGAGCACCCTTACTTCTGTAAGCCAGCAGGCCTCTTCGCACAGCGCCCTCCCAGGGCCCGTGTGTCGAGACCTTGGGTATTCTGGTTTCCAGCCTTTTGGCAGCCTGGCTGCCCTTAAAGGTGTAATTACTCTGTCTTACTCTGTCTTATTTGCACGTTGTCAAAGCCGGGGTATTTTAGTTCTAGTATTGTTTGTGCCAGAAACTTGTGCAAAGCATTATAATAATAAGCAGTCTGCTCTGATTTTTATGGGGTTGTTCACGTTCTATTGTTTATGATAAAGTAATGGAAAGATGCCTCAGAATTTAGCTGGCAGCCATATCAGCCTGCAACTCGCAACTGGCAACCCACTGAAGCTCAGCAGGTGTGAGCCTGGTCAGTACCTGGGTGGGAGACCTCCTGGGAAAAACTAAGGTTGCTGCTGAAAGAGGTGTTAGTGGGGCCAGCAGGGGGCGCTCACCCTGCGGTATATGTGGGTCCTAATGCCCCAGTATAGTGACGGGGACACTTTACTGTAAACAGGCGCTGTCCTTCGGATGAGATGTAAAACCGAGGTCCTGACTCTCTGTGGTCATTAAAAATCCCAGGATGTTTTTCGAAAAGAGTAGGGGTGTAAATATTTCCCTTTGGCCCTTACCAGTCATGGCCTCCAAATAATCCCCATATCTGAACTGGTTTCATCACTCTGTTCTCCTCCCCACTGAGAGCTGGTGTGTGAGGAGTGTACTGGTGCACTATGGGTGCCGTTGCATCATCCAGGTGGGGCTGCACACTTTTGGTGGAGGGAAGTCCCCATTACCTGTAAAGCACTTTGAGTGGAGAGTCCAGAAAAGCATTATATAAGTGTAAGCAATTATTAATTAATTTCAGAAAGTATATTTTAAGCCATCATGCAGAGTTATTGTTGGGCTGCATCATTTTGCGGTGTTCAAAAAGAATGTTTTTTCTGCCCATCTAAAAGCTTTTTTTAGACCTCTTTCATGCGTCCTCGTTGAGGACTCCCAGCTCATTGCTGTGAATATGTTGAGGGCTTTGTACATTTTAAAAGTGCTTATTTCTTGCTTTGGATCTTTCCAGTCTTGTTAGACCACTGTTTTCTGTGAATGTCCTGCCGTCTCCACAGAGCTATGTTTTTCTTTAGCAAATGCTGTCCTCTGCTGTCGAAATACAAATATTGCCTTTGACCTCTTCCTTTTTAAAGCAAAGCTTATATAAGGGCTTCAGGTTTAGCATATTGGCATATATATTGGCATTTCCATGAAGGAAAAAGCTTTATTAAAGGGAAAGCTATAGAGATTAAGTACAGCTTTCCTATCTCAGCATCAAGCGTGCGATAAATGTACATTTCATATTTCTTTCCTTGCTTTCTGGCTGGTGCTGGCCATTACAGGAAATACATAACTAGGCTTCTATTCCTCCAGACTCCAATAACAAGGAGACTGTGGCATGTCTAATCATTTGTTTCTGTCGGATTCATAGCCTGATCCCATGTCAGCCCAAGACAGACTTTAGTTCGTACTGCTGGGGTTTGCAGCAGACAGGTGTGGATTTCCGGTGAGTGCTGATGTGGGCTTCTCGTCTTTGCAGATCCTATTGTAAAAGACCAGTCTCGAATGGGAGGGTCAGCCAACATGCCCAGTGGCAACACACCTGTGAGCTCAGCCAACATGATGTCAGGTGAGAAGCACATCCTTTCCGGGCTCAAGGGCAGTGTGGTCAGACTGGCACTGGGTGCTGAGCAGGGGGCATGATCCATGCAGGCCAAGATGAAGCATAAGTCTCTTCTGTTGTCCCCTCTCTGGATTTGCAAGGAGTATCACCTGCATTTTTTTTCCTGTGTGTGAAGCTTTTAAAAAAATATTATATAATATTCATGTAAGATGGCACCCTTTTTCCAATTTAAAATAAGAAATGATCCAGGCACTTTCCAAGATATATCTTCCAGTAGCCCAACTTTAAAACCTTGTTGGTGATATGTCTGTTCAGAACCCTTGTTTTTTTTTGTCTTAAAATACATTGGATCCTTGAATCCAACTGGTGTGCCATAGTATAAGGAAATAGTCACATTGAAATGTCTAAATCATCGTATACCTTTGTGACTTTTCGTAGGCAAGGCTCGGGGATAATCAGAGTTGGTTGCCTGGCCACTTAATGTTAAGCCATTACTCTGACTGGTAAAGCACGTTGATTGTTGGTAGTTATCTGTACTTGTGTTCTGAGAACTGTATAAACAACAACAGTTTTAATGTAGTGTATAATACATCAAAGAATCCTTCTGGAAAACGTAATGTCAACATGAACGAAAAGTTAAGAAAATGATTGAAAATGTTGCATGCTGATGAAAACACTTGAATAGATAGGGCCTTCATTTCCAAAGAGGTAACAAAACCAGCTCGAATGCGAGTGTTTTGTATTGAGAAGACGGGAGATCTAAGAGCAATGCAGATGTGGTGATTACTGTGCTGATCAGACTTGGGTGGGAGATGTAACGCTCAAGAGTGTTGCTGGAAATGGAGTGGGTGAACAGTATGGCTGGACTATTCCAAGTCTTAAAGCAGATTATGGAAACCTGACACTGTGCTGTTGTTCTTTCAAATAGATATGAAACCAAAGTCCTGCCTGCTCATGGGCGTGAAAGAATCCTGGGCACTGTGGCACAATAGAGTACTGGTCCTCTCCTTCATTAGCTTATTTCCTTCATGTTCATTCTGACTACCTAAATGCCCTCACTCAAGAATAGTTATCCCAGTCATTCCCTGCTTTTCCTTATATTGGGCATGTGTGGATCAGCACACTGTGTGCCTTTACAGAGAGTATGGCAGATCAGTGGTGAGTTAAGGCAGTCTTCAGAATGAGTGACATTCAATAAATGCAACACACTATCATCGTTTCTTTTATTAACTGTTGCCTGCTACATGTATTTTCAGGGATTTCTGCGATGCCAACTTCCTCTCCCCTCGGTCCTCTGGCTGGCTCTCCGGTCATTTCTGCCACCAACACCTTGGGCACACCAGTGCCGGCTGCAGCTGGTGCCCAGCAGTGATGTCACTTCCCTTTGACCTCTGACCCCGGCTGGAGTGGCGGTTGCCTTCTGACCCCTTTTTAACTGGGTTGATTGCTGAAGAGGTCCAGGAATGCCACCTCTGAACGGTTTTGCTTGTGGATTTCTAAGTTCAATGAACCCAAACTAAGTAAATGGATGAATTTTCTTTTTTGTATATTTTTTTGTATGTCCTAGATATACAGATATTCCATGCGTTTGACAGTTGGTAATAAATCTTGTGTGTGTGTATATTTAAATAAATGCATATACACACAAGCACTCATACACCTGTGTGTGTATTTACAGGGCTAGCACAAAATAGAGTGATACATGCATGGACGTACAGCATTACCTTCAAATCCAGGTGCATTGTGACACAGATTACACACGACAAGTCAAAACATGCAAAAAAAATTAAACCATCAGGACCACAAGAGGCAGAGCAGCTTACCCTCGAAGTGCAATTGAAACGAAACCTCGTAGGGCCACCTGCAGTGCTTCACCACATACCAGTTCAAACCTAAACATGCTCATCCTGGAACAAAAAACTCTTTATCATCGCTCCTAGGAAGAGAAGGGACAGTATGACCCATGCAAAGATGAGCATCCGCCGCCCGCCATCTCAAAACACGCTGCTTTTATAAGTGGAGAGATCCGAGGCTCGTGTCTGAGAGAGTCCACTCCTTGACTGTTCTGCCCAAGCCCAGCACACAGTCTCACAGAGCCGGTCACCTCTGTGATATCTCAGTCTCGCTGACCACTCTCCTTAAACGACGTCCACATGGCCAGCAGGCATGTGGTGGCACGGACACCCACACCTCACCTTGGCCTTGTAAATCTGAACCACGATGAGTAATTTAACGACAGTACTATCTTGTCATCTGAAGCTTCTTCTAAGCCATCTTAAGCCAAGCCATCTGTCAGATCCTTTTGTGTTGCAAAGCACACCTCTTTACTCTGCTGCTCTCATCAGTCACTTAAATTCGCTCTAGTAGCATAACCAAAGCCAATACTGGATTACTTGGGAAAAACAAAGATGACCAAAATGCTTTTTTTTAAAACAAAAATAAAAACTGGTACTGTCTTTAAAATGCTTTAAACTTCCACTGTTAACGGTATGGACATCCTGTAGATAGTTTTAACTTTGAGAGAGGAGAAAAATAACAGCACAAGGGTTATTATTCGGAGTGCTTAAAAAAAAGTTTTCTGTCGCATCTGCTCTTAAAACCAGAAGAAAGTGTCTGGAATCCTCATAACGAAATGTTCCTAATAATCCTTACTGTTCTTCTGGCAGATGTGATATAGGGTGAAACGGTTCTAGATTTGTTTAGTTTGTATCAGGGTTTTTGTTTTTCACAAACTGTCACTTAATGCAATATTGAAGGACACGTCTAAGATGAACTTGAAGGGTTGAAATTTTTCTGCCTTTAGTGCCATTGATGCGAATCTTGTAAACAAATAGTCTTGTAAGCTTAGACTTGGCTGTAAATATGCATTTGCAACTTTTATTTTCCCCTTTTGAGATCTTGAAACATGCGAATCCTTAATAATACACTGCAGTTATGAAGATGTTTGAGCCCTTACCATTACTGTATATATATTTTTGTCCTCTTATGTGGAAGACCAGTATTTGAGACTATTTGTGTAAATAAACAGTTGTGTTTTATTTATCAAGGGTACATTGTAAGTAATTGTGTGTCATTTCAGGATATTTTGTTTATTTTTTTTCTTTTTAAATGTGATGCAATATAAATTATTTTACTTGGCTCTTGCAGAGGAGCAAACGCTACAGTTACAGCCTTGAGGAAAGGTATAATCAGCCTGTTGTTCTTGGTTCAGTCACTGGCTCCTGGTTCAGCTTTCATTAAAACCTGGAAATCCGGTGTTTGTAACTGTTGACACCATACTGCAGGTGTGTAATAGCAAAGAAGGTGGCTGGGGGACTGAATTGAATTCTTAGAGATCCAAGATCCAAAATGGGGAATTTCCCTGCCCCAGAGTTTAGATGTGACCGATTATCTCTGTATATTTGGAATTGGGAGGCTGAGAGAGCAAAGATGGTGACCTGAATGCAGGAGAGCCAGACAGGTCTCTAAATCGTTAACTTAGATGTGGTTACTACTTTTGCTTGTTGAGTTAAGAGTTTGTGTATTAAGGTTTATAATGAATATAAGATAAGATCACTTCATTGGCCATATACAATTTCTTGCATTAGGAATTGGTCTTTTCGCATACCCCAGCTTGCTCTCCATGAGACACACAGACAGGGAGAGGAGCTTGGGGTCAGAGCGCAGGGTGAGCCATCTATATGGGGTTCCTGGAGCAGTTGGGGTTAAGGGCCTTGCTCAGGGGCCCAACCTTCCAGCCACAGGCGGAGATCCTTAGCCACAGAGCCACCACACCGTATGGCAATGTTAGTAAGAGGCTTTGTTCATTGCTATTAGTAAAACTATCAACTATTTCTAAAACTGTTAGTAAACCCTAGCAACATGCACTTGACTGGGTTCGATCTTCTCAACAATAACTGCCCTTGGAATTCTAGAACATTAAGAGGTTTTTAATATTAAATTTAATGTATTTTTTCAAATTACTCAATTGTTCCATGATTGAAGCCAGTTATGAAGGTTGGGCTGAATTAATTACTGTGAAGAATCCAGGTCTCACACCTTCAAAGGAAGATATAAATATTGAAAAGAAGGGAATTCGAAAACAGATACAGGAAAACAACAGTAAAATGAATTTAACAATGAAAAAGAATTCATTGGATTCACTGCGGTGTGCAAGCACTTCGGCATATCAACCACACTGTTCAACAGGATAAAAGAAGACTCACACTGAAGACCAAGTCCAACAAAAACATACCGCATAAGGAGCTGAACAAACACTGATTTCAAGGTCTTAAAATGTGTGTGACAAAAGTGACATTCAGTTTCATAAATGTAATATATTTTCACAAAAGCCACTTGTCCTAGGGAAAGCTGTTTCAACTTTACAAATTGATCAATTACTTCAGGTTGAAAGTTTCAAATATCACATTCTGACATGCTCAGCAAGCGTAATAGCAACAGTGTTAGATACTTTCTCTGAGTTCTCCGAGTTGAGTTTCATTGCCTTGTATTATGCAGAGCATTAGTTAGTGCTGGTGTTTTGAATTTCTAGCAGGAGGAAGAACTTGACCTGAATAATTAACAGAAATTCAGAATACTTCATACTGTTTGCTATTTTTGGACCACAGTCCAAAATACAAAGTCCAGTTTTTGCAGTGGCTGTATGGATCTAGGAAAGGACTTAGGTCAGTGTGCTGTGTCGGTTTCACAAAGGACATGAATAGAAAACAAACAATATTGTGCCCTAGGGAAAACCTTTTAAGGACACACAGCATTTCTGTATCTCTGAATACACCCTAAAATATTACACATTACATCTACATAATTCATAATAACATTGTCGTGTAGATAGCTGCATCAGGAACAGATAAAGGTTTATTCCACTTTTCTTTTCCTTTCAGCATGGAATAAACCTTTACTTTTCCCATAACATAGTCATGACATATTACACATACAGTTTGTTACAGCATGATCCGTTTGTACTGACACAATTGCATTTATCCTTCCCATTTATTTGTAGTAATTGCTTTCATAGATAAGGGAACAAATTAATATGTGTATCCCTAACATCTACGTTTGTGAGAAATGAAGAGTTTGCCAGAGGGAAGAAGCTGAAATTGAGAATTAAGAATATGAAAGGGATCTAAAGAAACGGGTGATTTTTTTAATTATGATTTAACTGGACCGATAAATCGCCAAACCACCCTGTCGGACTAATGAAGCTCTCAGTTACACCCTGGCAAAAGAAGAGCATTATTTTCTCGCTCTTTCTCTGCAGATCCAGCAGATTGGGGGAAGACTGCCGTCTTCTCTCAGAAGCCTCACTGGCGGACGTAGGTACGCAACCGCTCAAACCAACTGGGGTGAACAGACTAACGGCAGGTGTAGAGGCCACGGCACTGCAAGCTAGTCCAGTATTGCTGTTAACAGGGCAGGAAGGGCTTCATCTTATTTCCACTAGATGGCAAGCACACACTGCCTTTAAAAGAACCTGACAGCCGCCAGTGAGCTAAGCCTCAAATATTGCGCGTCGCCGCTGCTGGGTACTGGAAACTAGGAAAGTTAGCTTAGGAAGCGAGGGGCGGAACACTCACTATTCTGCACAGCCCTCTTTTTGAAGGCGGCCCTCTGAACGCCATGCTTTTAAGTTGAGAGAGCAGAGAACCTGTTTCTGGAGCTTCTTGAATGGAGGAAACTTCGCCGTGGGGGTCTCTGGCATCTCAAGCCGGCTTTTCAGAGAGCCCCGAAGGCAGCTGAAGTTCGCGGCGTTTTGAAGGAAACCCGAACGTTTTCTGCTGCGTTGAGTTTTGCACATTTTAGGAATTTTAAACGGATGAGGGGCAGCGGGGATGCGCTGGACATGCCCAGACATTCATTTAGGATGAGGGTGCGAGGGTGAGTGACGCCTTTCTCCAAGATCTTCAAACAGTCAGCACTAATGGCATGTAAAGTTGTTAGTTTTTTTAAAAAATTGGGAGTCATTAATCAGGCGAACGATTTTTTTTTAATTATGGGAACTTAGGTCCTTAAGGAATGAAGAGTGGGTTGATTCACGTTCCAAACGAATCCATCGCAGTTCACTTTTCCATTTTATCGATCTTTAGACACTAGAGAGGCTTGATTGCCCAGTCTTGGTATAATAATAATATTAATAATAATAATAATATCAACTACAACGTTTTACAGGTGATGGGGACTCCCCTCCACAAATAAAATACCTTTATTTGGAGGCCCACCTGACCTGTTGTCGGGAGTCCTGCGCTGCCGGTAGGGTTAGCTTTGGCAGACTGGTTTAAGGTGAGGGGCCAGCCGGAACAATCCACACTGCAGCCCCGTGACGTCGCTATTATTAATATTAATAATACCCGAGAGAACTCTGCCCGGACCCGGGACCACGGGACCCCGGGACCCCACCCCTGGAGCCGGGCCTGGGGTTCGCCTGGTGGCCGGGCTGGGCTATCCACGTATCTCGGCCGCGACCAGCCCGTGGAGCCTACGGGACTCCGGGGACCCGTAAATGTGGGCTCACCATCCGCAACACGAAGAAGGGGGGGCCGGCATAGTCGGCCCGGTTTCGTTTCGATAATGAGTTAATGTGGCCAGACACGGCATTGCAGTTAGACTGTGACGTGCGCAAAAGAGAAACAGATTTTGCAAAACATCCCAGCTCTTCCGTGAACGGAGGGTGCAGACCAAAGCGAACACCGAATTAAGTGCATAAACCGAACTATGAGGTTGCATTTAAGTAAGTAGACGTGAACGTGCTTATCGTGACATTATTTTGACACATGCACGAGTGTTGCCCCGTTTGTTTACGCCGCTGGTCTTTGCAGTGGGGGTGGGGTGTAGTCTGGGTGTAGAAACGAAACCAGTTTGAACCAGTATGAAAAGGGGTGCAAGTATAAATAACCTGGGAAAGGGGAGATTACAGTAAAGCACGCAGGAGCAGCAAGGATTTGAAATGCATCAACTTTCTGTGTGCTGCGAATGGTTTCAGCGATTGCAAACCGATTGCGCTGCCACATTTCAACGTAAACAACAGACTTCCTGAATTGAAACCGAAGTTTTTTTTTTTTCCATCGGTGACTGTTTTCCGTCTTTGCGCTACATGGTCCTGTCAGTTCATTTTTAAAGCCGATTATGTGGTTATTGTTGTGGGGAAAAGGAGACACATTGTCACGTAATAAGAATAAAGACTTTGATATTACAGTGTTTAATCAAGATTAGCTCACTTCCTCATGCAGTCTTCGGTTTATGGTGATCTGTTTACAACTGATTTAACTAAACTTACTGGCCACTTTTTGTAATCATAATTACAACTACAATATTTACGTTTTTATATATCACCGATGTTTCAATTCCCATAAAGATCATACTGTCGGTGCGTTTCGTTTGGTAACTGGAATAACTGCCCAGTTATGTATCGGTGAACAGCAGGACTGAAACGAGAGGCAAATTAAAAATTGAATGCTGCGTCATCTACTGGAAAGAATCGTTAGGGCCCGTGCCTTAACTTTTAACGTGTTGTTAATTTTCACAAACATATCTGGGAATGTAATAAGTGTAACTCGTGGACATTTGGCAAAAATGCGATTAGCATCATTTTTTTAAATTGCAAATCATGACCTACATCGTGTTAAAATATAGTTTTTCAATTGAATATTCCCACAGCGTCCTATCTGACATGGGTAGTTTACGTGTGTGCAGACCATGATGGGTTAAGTCACTTACCATGCACTGCCCAGGTGGAGCCGGGAGTACCTTACAGAAAAGTGAGCTGGTACAAGGTATGGCATTTTTACACTTTCGGCTGAAAAGGATGAAAAACTAACACCGTTACACAATTGTCATCCCAAAGAATCCTGAAGTGTTTCACATATATAAGAGGGTTCCCCATTCATCTGTCACTGAATAGCAGAACAGCCAGCAACTCCATTATATTGTAGATCTCTTAGAAACGTGGGAGGTCAGACTGTGCACACCCTGAGTGGAATATAACCAGATCCGGGAGTTAACATCCCCAGTGTCATAGGTTGATCGTCATCAATTGAGAAGTAAGGACCTTGGTTTAACATCCTCCTAGAAAAGTGTCCCTGGTCACCATATTGGGGTGTTAGTCTGGAAATGCTCCAGAATGAAGAGCGCCACCTACTGGTCTACCCGCAGTACTAGCAGTCAGGGGCTCTGGACTCTTAACTGGAAGGGTGTGGGTTCAAAGCTAGGGTGGGACATGGCTGTCGGACCATAAGCAAGATAGGTCTTACGAGTTACTGTGCACAGTTCGCTTTTATTGTGGTTTGAAATGATGATCCTTTTCGAACCCCGAAATCTACAAATAGCCTTGCAGTTCCCCTTTAAAAAAAGAGCGGGCTTGTTCTGTTCCTGTCCTGGGCACGTACAGGTCGAAGAAGAAGGGCTCGTCGGCTTGGTTTTGAAGAACCTGGAAACTGGGAGGTCGTACCTCTACGGCTCGGCCAACCACAGCTACGCGATTGGGGAAGACCTCGCGCTCCTCCTGCCCGTCTCGGCAGCGGGGGACTGTGGGAGCTATCGCTGCACGTTGTGGCCCCCCCTGGGCCATCAGATTCAAGATGGCCTCTCCACGTTCCATACCGTGGGTGAGTTCAGGAGGGCTCAATTGCCCATTGTGGAAATGTTCAGGTTCAACAGCCCCACAATCAGAGACGCCAAGTTAGAGTATTGACAAAAAATATATAGAAACAGGATAGTTCCTGGCATATCCTCATTAGACCGGATTCACCAGAGAAGGTGATGGTCCTATATATAACAACATTTCCTGGACACCTGCTGATAAAACGGTTCTTCTGCATGGTCCCTTCTGGTAGCCAAACGTCATCACTCCAACCTGTTTTCTTAATATAATTGTCAGAATATCTATCCTCAATCCAACGTGGGGGAGATGGAGTCTACCCTGTCAAGCAATGGGTGCAAGGCAGGATACACCCTGGATGGGACACTAATCCATCCCAGGGCACACGCAGACACAGAAACGCGCACGCTCACATGAGAGCCAGTTTTCACAGGAACCAATTAAGGAAACCAGAGAACCTGGCGGAAACCCATGCAAGCATGGTAGGAGCATGCAGACTCCACACAGATAGCACCTCAGGAATTGAACCCAGATCCCCAGTGCTGTGAGACCGCAGTGCTAACCACTGAGCCACATTCCTGCTCAGTTGTCTGAATAGACCCACTCATTTAAACACTACAGTGATACTACACAGATCCACAATTGGATACAATGTTGTAGAAAACTCGCCGTCATCGGCTCTCTTTCCATATTTATGCTTTTTAGGCTGCCCCAAGCCAAGGATAACCCCACAGAAGCCAGACAGAATAAGCCATTCCTCTGGGTGGGATCAGAGGGTCTTGACCATGATGGTGGGCGTCACAGGAGCAGTATGCTTGTGCGTTTTTGTGATGATGGCTGTAGTGGCTGCCAGCCTCTGGAGACGCACACAGGGACGTGCGTACAACAAACTGCAGGTGGAAACGCTGGGCTGAGAGTTTGGTTGACCAAAACGCAAGAACTCCTCGATGTTCAAGATGAGACTCTGGAGGTAAATCAGGATAAACACCTTCATTCAAAATGTTTAGTACACTTTTGGTTTCCTAAATGGGGTTGTAAAAATATTCCTCAAGATTGTGAGCTTCCCAAAGGTCCGTGTTGTAGTTTGCGCTCTTTGTCCCTCTTCAGTGAGTTTTCTTTCATGCATCAGTACAGTATTTTTGGGTGTTGTATATTTATATACTGGCAAATTAAAGTCTGTTTTTTGAAAGGTCAGATTGTAAGTATAGCTTAAGGACACAATGCATACTGTCCTTACAATATGCATTGTTCCCTTAAATTTTACTTGCAATTAAAGCTCTCAAAAAAATAGCTTTTAATTTGTCATGCATTATTGTAAAAAAGTGGTTACTGCTGAATTGGTTTGATTCAATCATAAATAATAAATATTTTGACTTTTGTACTGAATTTTCTGAATTTGTATGACAAAAGGATGTGAATGCCATTTCAGTTTAAATGATTTTTGTTTCATACCAACATAATTTCACAGATTGTTTTGTTTTTGTTGTTATTCTCACTCTAGAACATTGCAATACTCATACGGTGAGCAAACTCCAAACAGCCTTGAGTCATGTGAAGAAGCCTGAAACTTTAATAATAATAATAAGAATACACTTACATCGTGCTTTTCTGGACACTCCACTCAAAGCGCTTTACAGGTAATGGGGATCCCCTCCACCACCACCACCAGTGTGCAGCCCCAGGTTGATGATGCAACGGCAGCCAAAGTGCTCCAGTACTCTCCACACACCAGCTCTCAGTGGGGAGGAGAACAGAGGGATGAAGCCAGTTCATAGATGGGGATTATTAGGAGGCCATGATTGGTAAAGGCCCGGGGAGAAACGCCCTGGGGATTTTAATGAACACGGAAAGTCAGGACCTCGGCAGATTCCTTGAAAGGCTTCTCGGGCTGTGCGGTAGGTCCTCGTTGCGGGAACGAAAGAGTGAGGCGATAAAACGCCGGTAAAAATGGGACTACTGCACCGAGGCGTCCAGTCGCTATGGACGTAATGGAAGTCGGGCATCCGTTATTCTACTTAAATTTTCACATGGGGGTTGCGTCTCAAATTTCAGCGAGGTGTGAATATTTCAAACATTCAACGTTTTAATCTGGGTATTGTATGTCGCGGTTGTTAATAATGGGTAGGAATGTTTTCACCAACGTTACTGATTAAAACAGAACGTGGATATCTAGTTGCTTTTAAATGGATGAGTGTAGAATATCAAACATTCTCTTTAAATGATTACAATGACCAAACTTCAGGAGGAGCTTGGGAAAGTGTAACTGCAATAACAGGCGCTGGAATTTAAAGTGATCAATTGACGAGGTTTTGCATATAGATGCTGAAAGTGTCAAGTTTCGTTTTTAACATAAGACCATCAAATCGGTCCTAAATCTCGACGTTTAAGTTGGTAATTATTCTTTTATATTCCATTACTTTCAAAGTGACAGTAAGTAGATCTGTAGTCTCAATTTTAACCACACCCTAATTCAGTAGGTTGAGCAGGTTGAGCAGGGACATCATAAGCAGTGATTTTCACGTTCGGCTACTGGACGATCATTTATCAGTAAATCGGAGTTTCAGCGCCCGTGCTAGACGATGTAATGATGAAAATAATAACTTGGCTAAAGTTGTGTTCTCTACACATTCGACTCCTTCATGCTCGTCTTGTCTCTTTCACTTTCGTTTACTAAATCTTACAGTTGCACCTTTGACAAAATACCATCAGATTTAAGAAAACATTAGGGTATCGAGGTCAGACGTAGAGATCGTTTTTGAAAATGGGTATTAGCTGCTTTTTCCACTTTCATAAGTTTAATTACATTAATATGCATCTTAAAATGTGTGGCGTGTTATTCTGTAACACGAAACCGAAGGGAATTTGAAGTTGCGAGATAATGGCTCAGACCTTATTTCCCGGAAATGGTTGAAAACGTTGTAACCCGGAACTGTGGAATTTAAAAATATATTTAAAACCTGTAAAATATCATGTTTGTAGAACTCAACGCAACAGTCTTAAACATACACGTTAAGGATGTATAAGTAAAATGGACAAAAATTAAACCGTAGGCGGTAGGAGTAAGCTCCTATGTGATTATGCAAAGTTTTGCGGTCGGGTTCTGTTCCGGGTCCTGTTCACCGGCTTGTGTCCGAGGTCCGGTCCATAAGGAGTCTGCCCCAGCCGCAATGAAACCCGGTGAGACATTTCTGTTACTGAAGTGAGCGACAAGACCGGCTTGCGAAATCGTGTGCTGTTCACCTAACTTGTATGTCAGAATTGGGAGGAAATGGAAAATGACACCTTAAAATGCTTACGTCAAAAACAACACATTGAAATGCATATATATAAAAAAGAAGAGTTTCAAATGGAAGCACTTTAATAGAAGTAGTTTTTCCACTTATTTATTTGCTTTTGAGACGAAGGCAGGGACAGCGGACCAAATAAGCTTTTAACACAGACAGCGCAAAGCGAAAGTAAAATTATTCAAGGAGCTACAGTAGCACTCAACCCTATCTGCTGGCGAGAAACAAAAATGTAGCTTGAAATGTCTGTAGTCGCGCCTCCAGAACCAGATATTAAATTATATTCTTTTGTTTTTGTTATTAGAATTTGGGGATGGTATTTCAGTCGTAATCGTTCAGTTGAACTGTTACAGGTTTGACATCCCGTGTTAATTTACTGTTAGAAAATTAGGGTTGTGGTTGCTTCCAGTTAATGAAGAACAGAATTTTTTATGATTGTAGAATACATTAAATAATAAACAAAGACTACACAGAAGTTGCTCCTCTAAAGTACAAGTGAGGTTTTTTATATGCCGTATTAAAAGCTTTGCCATTCCTTGAGAGAAAAGCCCTGCGCAATATTACTAATAATACTGCAGGAGATTAATCGATGTATTTATAAAGTTAACAGTCGTGTTACAACAGCTGTTGAGAACTGCACCGTGGAACAATACAATTCAGTAGTGTCCCAAATGGAGGGATATTTATTTCCATCAATATCCACCAAAGGGCGATAAATGTTTTTACTGGGTGTGTCCTCTGGCTGTTCATGAGTCTTCTGTTCTTATATTTATCTGTCCATCCGTTTTCTAACCCCTTGTTCTGATTCAGGGCCGTGGGGCAGGCGGAGCCTATCCCAGCAGGCAACAGGTGCAAGGCAGGGGTACATTCTAGATGGGACGCCAGTGCGTTGCAAGGCACACACAGACACACTCACACCAGGAAAAAACATAAACCCTAAGGATTGAATCCGGGGCCCCACCACTGCAAGGCAGCAATGGTAACCACCCCACCACACAGAAACAAAACCAAAAGAAAACTCTGGTCTAGAATATCTGCTTATCTGGATGGCTGAGCCGCAGGCAGGTTTGCTGGGTGTGGTAGTGTTAAGAGGGGAAAGCTGAGAATATCATTTATTCATTGGAATATTTCTCCTTGTAGTCCTGTGCACGCTGAGCCACCTGATCGTCTGCTGGAATATAGTCGTCGTCGCCCTAGGACTGCACTGTCCGCAGAGAGGGAGACTGCTCTGCACAGCTCGGCCTCAGAAAGGAGTGCACTATCGCAGGGTTAGCTGGTACAGGGTAGGTACTTCACTTCGAAGGTCCTGGGTTCTCTCCCTTTCTACCCACCCAGGCTGACAGAAAATCTTTGGAAGAGATACATCATGTGAAATGAAGAGGTTCCTCATCTTCAATGGGAAATGTATTAGAATTTAAGCTTGAAGTGTACTAGTGATGTATCAGCTTGGTTAGTGGAGGGTTAAAGGAAATGGAAGAGGTATCTATGTAAATATTTCTCAGTTAGGTGACAGGAAGCACTAAGGACGTTTGTGAGAGGAGGCTGACCCGGCATCCGTGACAGAGCAGACAGTTAGACAGTCTTGTGCAGATTCAGTTTTATTGAGCTCAGTTAGCACAGCAGCATGCTGGGTCTGCCCCACAGAACAGACAAACTGCAAGGGTTTCCCAGCTCTGAGAGACAAAACGTACTACCGTACTTCACACTTTAACGTGACAGGAGTTGACTTAATTTTCCTCCTTTAACACTTGCAGCAGGGCGTTTGTTGTTGTAGCCGTTTGCTGTATTTTGAGATGACCCAAGTTAACAGATCTCGGCAATCATTCGAATGCCTTCTACAGTATGGTTCAGTACTAATATTGTAGTGCTGGAGATATGCGGTATAGATATAGGAGTAAAAACTACATGTATCTTACTTGTGGATTGTAGGTCTACCAGAGTGGAAAACCGGGTTGAATCTGTGAATTACTGCTTTGGTTGCAGATGGATTCTGATAGATAGGAGTTTGTGGCAGCTTCACAGTGATTGTTTCCGGGCTGCGAGCCTGTTCAGAGATCACTAGGCTGTTTTCTGTAAATGGGGGTGAGCTGTTGGTCCTGGAAACTTTGCTAGCAGGTCTTGTCCCCGTGGGTTGCCTTGTGAGTCATAGTTTGCTAAATTAATTGTTTGCAGAAAAATTGTTGTCGATGCAGAAGAGCATTCATTCAATCCTTTTGTTCTGCACTTCCTATTCTACCCTTTCATGTTACACTATCTAAAAGCATTGGAGGCCAACCATCATATCACAAACGTCATACAGTACTCATCAAGCAATACTCAGAGGGGCCAAATGACTTTTTGTCCTCTCTTATTACAATATAGAAGATGAAATACATATTTGCTATGAGTATAAAAGAGTTTCACAAATGCAAAGAGGCCAAGGTTCTCATCAGAAGCTCACCAGAATTAGGAAAGACTCCCTGTAATTAAAGAGAGCATTGAGTAACTGTACAGGCATAAAATAACCTACAAATGAGAGGAGGCCATCTGGTTAGTCCAACAGGTATGGCTGAACCTTTTGTGGTCTTCAACATCACAGCTGGACAGCTAGAACCAGACTTTCACAACCCTAAACACAATTCATTCTGCTCCCAGTTCTGAATGCATTTCCTCAGCCTTTCCACTTGTTGTCATTAGTTTGTGTTTCCCTGCTGTTTAAGCAGACATCCAGTGGTTTGAGTGTGTCAGATCCCTTAAGGATTTTGATCACCAATATTACAGAGCAGTAAAAGCACACACAATATTCCAAATGAGGTCTTGTTAGTGCGGTGCACCAATTGTAACACAGGATCCTTTCTTTTAAATTCGATAGATTTAAGTATCCTAAGATTGTATTTGCCTTTTTATTGCTTCTCTAGGGATGGAAATGTCTGCCAAAACATTTATGTCTATCTGTTAGGTAGTTTTTTTCCAGATCTGTGTTTCCCCTTTTGTATCTACAGTTTGTTTTTGCTACTTACATGTGTTAACCTTGAACTTTCCTGTATAAAATGTCATCTGCCTGCTGTTTTTCTAGTTTTGGATATTGTGAAAGTCTTTTTGAATCTGCTTTGCAGCTTTTGCAGTGTTTTCTAATCATCTTCTTATTTTGCTGCCACGTGCAATCTTGAGTGAGTTTACCGACCAGAATCTGTAGTATTCAAATAATTTAGGAAGAACAGGCAGCCAAATACAGATCCCTGTGGTACTTCACTGTTTACTCCATTCGGAGCATTCACTCCTTCTCCATTTCCAGAGACATGCATTACTTTCAATGCTTATCTTTTATAAGGACCTCAATCAAAGTCTTCTGAATATCTAAATAAAATCTGACATGCCTTGCATCCTTAACTGCTGTTGCCTTTTAAAAACAATCTGATGTTAAAGTTAAACAAGACTTCTTTAAATCCATGTTGTCTGTCCCTTAAACTACAGATGATGCTCTCAGTTTTATCCGAATGATCATTTCTGTAACCTTACACGAGTCAAAACAGGACTTGTTGCTCTTGATGACTTGGTTCATTTGTTTTTCTTTTCCTCGTGTTCTCCCAGGTATTGGGTGAAAACCAGTTGTCGGGTTTGGTCTTGAAAGACCTCCTCAGCAACTGGACAAGACCCTACATCCATGTAAACCGATCCTATGAGATTGATGCCGATTCCTCACTTGTCGTACCGCTGCCTAGAGCAGAGGATGAGGGTCTGTACCGCTGTGTGCTCTGGGCACCAGTGGGAGAGCAGATTCAGACAGGAGATGCGCTTGTATCTGTGCATGGTGAGTATTACACGCTGTGTAAATGAGGTTTTCCTTTACAATACTCTCCCAACCTGGAAATGCTTATTATTGATCAGTTCTGCTAAATGCTCTAACCCCTGGACAACACAGGGAGATTGAGGTTACCTGAATGCATTCATTTGACACTCCACCCTGAAAGCACTATTCACCTCTTAATATGTTGCTGGCTCCATGGTATTAGGACCAAATTCAGGAGAAATTAGTTATTAAAAAGAACAAACCATTAGAGTATTGTGGTTGATTTTCAGTTTTTGACCATTTCCTCATTGTTAAACCATAATATTTATAAAAGGCCATAATCTCTTACGTTTCCTCATTATTATACTATAAGATTTATTAAGGGCCACATCCAGGAAGGTGTTAAACAGCTCCCTATAGTCAGGAGTCGCGCAAGCTATTGGACTCATAGTTTATTAAACAGCACACTGGGAGGCTTACGGAACATAAGTGACTTGCTGGAAGCTAGTGATGTTTTTTTTCTTCTCTGTCACAGGCTGTACTCTGCACCAGTCTCCTGCAGTGGACATCCAGCGACGAGCAGCACTGAAGTTGCCGGACTCTGCTGATGCGGTTTCATGGTTGCTGCTGTTAGGTCTTCTAATTGCCATAACATTAGCGGTGAGAAGGAGAGAAAAAACGGATTCTCGCATAAAGTGTTAGAATTATAAATGCGTCAGTCCTGTGGGGTTAAAATTAAAATTGACTTGAAACATTGCTTTTCTCTGTTTTTGTTTTTCTTCGCCATTGATAAAGTACAGGACGTATCTTTCCCCTAAGGTTAGAATGTGCCGTTTCTAAGTTACCACCTCTTACGGGAAACTATGGGTAGTAAGAAGCTGTTTAAATGTCAGCAGAAATGTATGCCACTAAGTCCGTTTGCTGCACTCGGTCATATTTTCCTCCAACCTCAACAGAAAAGCCGTCCTCAGGAAGTTACCCTATTCTAAGAGCAAGATAATCAACAAGAGGGACAGTATGTGGGCAGTTATAGGCAACCGCAGATGGCAATTTTGTATAGGTTTTAGGAAATGTCGGAAAACAAAATCTAAGAACGCAAGACACAGCGCGACAGAGTTGCCCCCTCTCGATGCGGAAATGTTGGACTTGCTCTCCTGAATGATTTATTCTCCAGCTCAGTAAGACGCTGGGCAAAGAGAAGAGCCGGGATTCGGGAATGATGCGAGTCTCATTTGCAGCGGGGTGCGACCACTGCGCTCCAGTCCAAATAACAGGACAAGACAAATGCGCCAAGAGGAAATGGGCATCACTTAAACCCCAGTCCTGTGCGCTTTATACTACAGAGAAAAACAGGGGAAGAGAGGAAATAGATTCTGTGAGAGCGACACGGAGAATGAGGGATTCTCGAAGCTTTTGCAGATGCAGCTGTTTGAACAAATCTGAAAAGTCAGAAACCCTTCTTATTCCGCCCACCGTTACTTATTTTTGGTTGATGACAAATTCACATCCCCCTATACCACCTACTTTGTATAATTAAAAAAAACAGGTAATAAAGACAAGAAACGTGTTACGCTGAGGTTATCGAGTTTTTGGCACGGAAGATAGCATTCACAGGTCCCGCTCTGCTTCCAGTGTGGGCCGTTTCCTATGGCATTTTTTAAAATTAAATTCGGTAAGTCTAGCTATTTCGACGTCAGGTCACAATTCAGTTACAAAGCCTAGACTAAAATCATGTGTGAGAGAGGAGAGAATTCTTAGACCAGCGTCAGACCAACTGTTACCCTTGGATTTAAATATCATTGCTTCGTAATTTAGTTTATTAAGTCTTGCTTATTGAAATATCATTTTTGAGGAGTGACATCTTTTCAGAGTGAAATGAGCGCTGTGAGCAATTAGAAACTACCCCTACAGCAATTCCGTACGATTTGAACCTATGAATGCTAGTGTATTAAGCAGCAGCCGGTAGTGACCGCACGACCACTCAAAACAAGTATTTAATTATGATTTAATACGCCTCATAAAAGGGACTAACTTGGAGTATATGACTGTTTGAATACTGTGTTTCTTCGTTATTATGATACAGTTACATTGAACTATTTTGTGCTGGAATTAACGGTACAAATGGTAATGCATTGCTCTTTGTCTGTATGACAATGTTACGTAATATATACCAAATTCGAAAGGAGGTACAAAAAACTTTACAGGAAAACTGCGGTCAGCAGGAGGATGGGCTCTCTTACTTATCGCAGTGCACCTAACCAGAAGGGACCCTTTAACACATCAAACACTTAGTGTGTATTTTTTTAAAAGAAAACGTTCTCGGCAGGTATGCTTGTCTACTGGGGTGAGTATTTTCGCCTTTTGGATGCCTTTTGCAGTCTCTGGGAAAGAAGTGCGCCTTGACCAGGTATCTGGGCTACAATACCTGCATGTCTGGGCACTTTGAGAAAAGATTGGAAATTTAGGATACCTTGTACTAAAAAATCAATGTGAAAATTCCGATTTAATACCTTTGTTAATATTATATGTTATAGTTTGCGTAATAGCGTTAATAATAAAGTTAACAACTTGCGGGCAGATGTAAAACGGGTTTCACACATTTTGTACTGTGGGCTTTTGTATTTTCTGCACACGAGATCTGGGCAAGTTTTTTTTGTGTGTGTTGTTGGTCACACATTTGTTTCCTTCAGTTTAACTTCAATTTTAAAGTCTTGTCGTGTCATAAAGTATTCAGATTCTTGGCCGGGACTCTGGGGAAACAATTTATTTAATACCATACCCTAACATTTCTTTTTCTGGATGTTTGTGTTTTTGTGTCTTTACTGGTTTGACTGTCTTTTTTGGTATAATACTGTAACCGATTCTATATTTCTGAAATGATCGTTAACTGACAGTAATGATTAAGGTGAAGAGGCAGCCGATCTAACAAAAACGGATTCAAAGTGTACAGCCTAAAGGGTTTTCACTAGTATCCGATTTACCATGTAATCCTGCAACGTATTATTCTCACGTCAAGAAAGAAAAACAATTTTAAATGCAGTATTATGAATCCTTTAGTTTGTACTTGATATATTGTATTTTACGTTTTCCTGGCTGCTAGAGATCAGTTAGTTACCCCAATCTTTCTACCTGGGGAAAGTGGAAAGTGGAAATTTCTACGTGTCCAATTGGCTACAATAGAAAACATGAGCAAAGTAACAGAACAAAAACATTAGAAATTACATATACATTACATATTCTGAAAAAGGAAGAGGAATTGTCATGAAAGACAGACATTGATGTCAACCTGAATGCAAAAGATGATCATAAATATAAAATGGTATTTAAAAAGCCTAAAAAACTAAACAAATACTCCAGCTCAGAACTGCCCATCTCTGTATGGGCTGTGTAAACCGTGCCTTTCAGTTGTGAGCTGTGATAGGTGTCATTCTTTCTCAGTTAGTTGGTTTTATTTCTGTCTGTAGGGCTTTATTTCTGTCTTGTGTCAGAATTCTTACTTACTCGCGTTTTTTAAAACCAGTTTCATAGTCAATGCCCTAGAATAGGCTCGGCCCTCCTCATTTCTTTGACAACACTTTCAGGGCTGTTTTGCCCTGAGCTCTTTCCAAGATTTCCAACAGAAGAACAGATTCCTGAAGCATTAGTTATTTTCAGTCCAAGTCCAAGAGGACCCCTGTTTCCACTCATATTTTCTTGGGCCCACAAACCGTAAAATCATCGTACAAAGTGTCAACATCTTCCCGAATGGCCAGTGGACATACAGAGCGTTTTCATGCAGATGGTAAGCCTGCCTGCATTATTTCCCAAAATGTGCAGATGATTGCTTCCTACTATCATTAAAGTAATTACACAGATGGGTCAGAGATAGGAGACAGGTGTGGTGACTCTCTATCAGCCTGAATTGGCCTGTCCCCTGGTTTCTCTAGACTGGGCTGCTGGTTGTTGAAGCAGAACACTTCATTCTCTGGGCATCTTCCCTCGTAGTTGCAGAGTGTAGTTGTCTCTTTCGCTGTTCTGTTGTTAATTAAGATCTGTTTCATGGCTATTTATACTGATTCTTAATAATTACAATTTTAATTTCAACTCAAATACCAAACACAGAACACCTGGCAATTTTAAAACTGCTGAAAAACCACTACACTAAAGTGCACTTACTTTTTAGGCATGCAGGTGGTATGTATTTTCCTCTAAACCTGTCACAAGCTACCACAGTTTCTTCAACCTGTGTGCCCGACAGTGCCTATAGATAGGATCAGTAACTTCAATTGAAGATACAGGTCTCGTTACCATCCAGCCTATATCAAACCTAGGCCAGGCAGAGATCATCATGTTCATGCTTGGAGAATGCTGGTATGAGTTTCCTTTTGGTGTTTTTTAAAATGGGAAGACATATACGGTGTAATCAATAGCAGGTCCTCACAGAGTCTGCTTCAGATGGATCTGTGTTTTAGTGCTGATATTTAAAAACTAAAATCTTCTGTTACAGTTATTAGAAGTTGCTTTTGAGGTGTCTTGAGAATCTAGGGACATTAGTCAAACATCTAGCTGTTGTCAGCATCTGTAGTTATTGGACCCTTCAAAGCAAGAAAGGAACTGAAGTGTTTGGCACATTGATCAAAGGAATTGCCTGGTTTACTTTGGTTAATTAAGTTCTGGGTAAATGATTAAGAGTCATCAACAGCTGAGGAACAGAGGATAAAACAAGGCAGGTAAGTAGACAGAGAGGAGGAAGGACAGAAAGACACAAGGGAAGAGTGTCAGGGCTCCTTGTTCTGATCGGCCTTTAAGACCAGATTCAAGTGAAATATCTGAACCATGTTAAGAGAGCTAGCCATTCTGTTGTTTTTTAGGAAATTCTGATTTCCTGCATAGGGAATCCCTAGGTTAAAAATGTCCTCTCCTGGTTAGTGGATGTATTTTTTTTGGAATAGGGAGATCACTTTGTAGCATCCAAATATATGTAGAGAGAGATTTAACTCTAGGTTGTATGCTGTTTGGTACAGAAGGCAGGTTTATCTCTATTTCTTTGGGTTGTTAAGCCTTATATAGGATTCAAATACTTGGTAGCAGTCTGGGTAGCAGTAAATTTTTCTCGTTGGTCAGGACATAGGCATTCATTGTTTGCAAATGGTGTAACAAATGGTGTATGTTTAGGTTCTGTGCTGTATAGTTTGTGTCATTAATGTTTAATCAGTATGCCTGATTTGTTACTCTTTTCACCAAAGCTGTGCAGGAGAGCAATAAATTTGGGCGCCTCTAATTATACCAACCACATGGTTATATTCGGGAAAATCTTTACAATTCTGGGAGTATTATTATTGAATATCCCGATTGGTTTCCTTGTGGTAATTTTCAAGTTTTGTAACCCCTTTTTGTAACACGACTTGCTTTTATTTAAAGAAAAAAAATCATCTCACAAAAAAACAAAAGGAGAACAGTGGAATTTTAGGTAACTTCCCAGGTTTCACTTTTCTCAACTGTCTCTGTTTTCAGGCTGGTTTAACAGATGTGAAGCAATCTTCTAAAAGCCTGTTGCCAAGCTCAAACTAACTGCATCTTAATACCAAAAGAGTACTAATGAAAGAACATTTATTCTTCAGGGAGGCTGAATTTAGTTTCTACTAGACACTAGCAGGAGATTTTTAATACTATAAAAACATTAAACAGACACTATAATATTTTTCAGAAATTCTGAAGGCCTACAAAAAAAAACAAAAACAAATTACTTTGAGATTATGACGATATTCCATACAGACCATTTTCATGGCAAGCTTAAATACATTTTCAAATTAAGGCAACAATTGCAGAAACAAAAGTGCAAATTTAAATGAAAAGATATTAAAACTCCCCAGGAATGATAATCACCTTTATTTGAAGTTTTTATATTGAATGAGATCAGTGAAGAAAACCAATTTTGTTTTTATTTTGCCTGCCATTCGTTAAAACACCAACTTTAATTTCTCCCCAGTTCTACAGCTGCATATTTTACTTGATGAAGTTCAGCTGGAGTACTGTACCTTGCTCAGAGATAAACAAGAGTATCTCACATGGGATGTGAACCTACAACCTTCTAATCCAGAACTCTAACCTCAGTACCTCACCACTGCCCTTAGATCTGACACGTGTCACTGATGGAACTCTGCTTGACAGAAATGATGATGAATTGAACCTATTTCTTGGAAGAGTTGTGTCTCTAAGTCTGGTTTCCATTTTAAAAGGGGGTTTCATTTCATTGCTGAGGTTTGTAGAAGTGGCATTGAAAACAGGGAAACCCAAAAGCTGTTCAGTTTAATTTTGCTGAAGCAGTTTCTGTGTTTTTTTTGTTTAGGTAAAGTCTGAAGCTTCCTCTTTAATTTAAAAAGGCAGGAATAATTTTACATCTTTAAAATGCTTTTACTCCTGCAAAAATAGGAAATCATATAAATTGTATTGGGAGTTCTGGTAGGTTACAGAACTAAATGAATCTTTTCAGGACCAAAAAGTACATGAGTCTATATTGAATTCTCAAAGGAGATTTTTAATTTTAATGCCTTCTAAGAACATGTTTTCTGTAATTTCTGCTTATTTCATTAATTTTTCTTTCTGACGTGCTAAACTATTTATGATTTGAAATATTCAGTTATATTATTTCATTTAATACAGAATATATTACATAATTTCATTATATACAGTACTTTCACTATATAAAGAGATTCAAAAAATTATATTAAGAACCTGTGCTAAGGAAATGTGATTTGACAGACAGATGCCTACAGTTTTCCAAACCTGCAGGGTCTGACACAGACTGTTGTGCAGAAGGATGGCATTTATGCCAGGGGCATGGAGGAACGGGAGGTTATTTCAGTATTTTATTGAGTTCTGAGTTGAGAACTGCATGCATTAATATTTGTGTATTAATTCAAATCCAGATGTTTTGGATTCATGCAAGGTTCCAATAAAAGTTCTGCAAAAGCATGATGATCCGTTTTTTTGCACATTATTTTATTGCCAGCAGGATCCCCTACATGGAGTTGACTGATTTGTCCCCTTTAAGTACTTAATTGATCAAATTATTAGGCTACAAAGTCAAAAGGCAAAGTCAGTTACTTAATGAAAAAAAGTAAACCTGCAGAACTGGAACTGCCAGTTCGTGTAGTGAATAATTTGGACTTATCATGTAGTGCTTCTCTTTAATCGTGCAGTGTCACTTTTACCATATCCTTGGACAATTGCTTAATGTCTCACAATTATAAGGCAAGGAGAAAAGCTTTTCAATTGACATAGACAAGCAGAGTTTAGAAGTGACACTGATCACTAATCTTAGAAACCAGTTAGTCCCCATCTCATTCCAGAAGTGTCCAAGGCTGTGTTTGGCAGTAGATTTTATGGCAGCCAATTAGTTTTGGTTGAATCCACAAACACACAGGTGCAAACAACCACATACATGGAAGAGACTTAAAAATCAAGAACTCAAATATGATTTCTTCAAAGATCCTAGGTGAGTTAGCTTTTACATTTCTTCCACAGACATACCACTGTTTAGGTAAGCGCCTTCAAAATCAGGACAAATTGTTTTCTAGAGGAAACATCAAAACAACATCACAACACAACAGTTTTGGGTCCTAACTTCATTACAAGCTGTGTAATCTATTACACAATGTATTGAAAGTGCGTTCCATTGCGGTTACTGTTAGCGCAGTTACTAGACACGTCTGTAAAGCAAAGTGAAACAACCTCCTGAATGCCACACACAAAGGGACGAGAGGAAATGGCAGGCTGAAGAAGGCCTAACCACAGTGCGTTCTTTTCGATTAACTACAAAAGCAGGGCAGAAGTCTAGTTGCCTAACCTCACCTACACTGGATCGTCACCCAGCACCACAATTCTAGGACATGTTAAAACAAGAGAGATTTTCAGAACTGCGCCCAACCAGAAAGACGTTCTTGTCATTCCTGCTACCTGTCAATCAATGGGAGTACTGTATCACACATCTAATTAGAAAGAAACCTAATTGTGGTGAATTAAATGAGTAAAATAAGTAGCACATTTGAAAAGTGGGTGAATTATAATACTGTCATGTTCATTGATTGGGAATTGGCTATTGAGGTGTCAGAATCTAAGGGACAATGGTTGGCACCTGACTATTGTCAACATTTCCAGTTCACAGGAGCTCCAAAGTAAGAAGAAGTTGCTGAGATGTACTTTAGGGGTCTTGAGAAATTACTGATCGAAGCAATCCTAAGGCTTACCTTGGTTTACCTTAATTAAATTCTTGGTAAATTATTAAGAGAGAATTATTAAGAGGTAAATTCTAAAGACCAGACTCAAGTTGTTAAGAGACATTCTGTTGTTATTAGGAACCTCTGATTTCCTGTATAGCGAATCCCTCAGTTAAACGAGACTGTCCTGGTGAGTGAATGCATTTTAGAATAGGGAGATACGTTCCCAATTATTTTGTGGCGTTCAGGTTTACAGAGAGAGAGAGATTTAACTGTAGGTTGTATGCTGTTTAGTTTAGAAGGCAGATTGTAGGCCTGTGTAGGTGTTACGTAGTAGTCTCGGATTTTCCTGGGTGGTAGGCCTCTGGGATGCCGTGTTGGTAAGTTTGAAAATAGAGGAACTTGTATGTTGAATGTTTATGTTTATGCTAGAGAGCAAAGAACTCAGGTGCCTCTAATTAAACCAACCTCTTGAGCATATTCTTTGCTAAATAATTTTCCATTTAAGGGTTATGATTATTGAATTTACTAACGGATCAATCCAATCAGCCTATTTCTGATATTTAACTACTTTTGTTATCTCCTATTTGTAACAGTATTTTAAAGTACAATGCTTGAGTGTTTTAATTCAATAAACAATTGCACAGGTATAATGGTTGCTGCCTATACAGTAGCAATATCTATTGAGAAGATGTTTAATGTTCTTGTTATACAGTCTTTACCTTTAGCTGGTATTAAAAGCAATCACATTTTAAAGCATTCTAAGTATTCTTATAGAAAAACCTGCAGATTTATAGATGCGGGTGCAGGGTGGTGACTGAGAGTGAGTGCTTCTGCCTCATAGCTGTTGAGGTCTGTTGAGGTTTTGGATTTTCCTTGGGTGCTCCTGTTTCTTCCCACCACCAAAAGACATGCTGTCACAGTATCTCTAAATTGTGCCCCTTAGTTACCTATAAATCAGTTATTTGATGAGTCTGTATGGCCTGTGTGTGTCTAAGCAATCACTTAGTTCCTCTTTACACCCTGTGCTTCTGGTATAGATTCTAGGTCCCCGTGACCCCTATGAGAGGAGAATTTTCTGATATCAGATGGATAATTTTATTACATTGGATTTTCTGCATTGAGCCTGAAAGCAATGATTAGAGTCCACTGTGTTTATATTGCTCCCAAGATGACAAACATGACAATACCCTAAAGTCTTTTTCCACTGTTGTGTCCTTCAGCTGCGATTCTGTGTGTGGCTGTGGTGCTCCAGAGACCATTCAGCAAAGCCCAGGATCTGGTTGTGGCTGATTGCAATACAGAGGCCACTCTGCCTTGCACTGCTGTCCAGAGAGCCACCCAGTACCGATCTGTCCACTGGTATAAGGTATTTGAAACTTGAAATTTCATTCGATAGGGCCTGAGGCTTCACAGGTTGTAAAACAATCTGTTTCTAAATGGTAAACACATTTTATGTTGAACCAAATATGAGTAGCAATAACTTTTTAGATGGCTTTACTGTTTTTGTATGCAGTACCATGATTTTGTAGTGATTTTCCATTAAAGTTTTAGCCATTTTGTTAAATATATCAGTTAATCCATATTGAGTTTTCTTATAGTGCAGTATAAAAAGCAGCATTTTAGCTTAATGAATGTGTAAAAAGGATCAAATGATATTAATGAGGCATATGCGAGAATAAGATTTGATTGGTAAGTGGCCTATTAGTACTTAAACATTTCAAATTGACTGCTCATGTATAGTATGTGAAGGTATTTTTGAAGATTCCAATCAATAGGAATATAATTACTAGGAAAATAGCCTGGCTCCTTGTCATAATATAAAGTACCAGTGGAGCTCATAATGTGCATTTATCATAATTCCTGACTATGTCTTAAAAGTCTAAGATCTTTTCACAGCACAGTTGATCTTAGCTATAGTTATTTTTCAAGATATTTTTGTTAATTTGTTTCCTGGCATATGTAAAAATCATAAGTCCAATGGAAAATGAATGCAGATCCAAAAATGGTATGTAAGAATATCAATACATTTCAGTGTGGTCTAGCATGGAATTATGTTACCAGAGGTATACTGTATATCAGGTGCTTATAATGTTAGTGGGCCTCTTCAACTTTTACTTAATGTGAAAACTAGTACAAACAAGAGCAGCACATAACATTCATTGTTATTAATGAAAAGCTCAATGAAGCTGTGTACTGCGCTTGGCTTTTAATACATGCAAACCATTATGGACCAGCTAGTAGTATTATCTATCTAAAAAAACAAAACAAACAAACATCCATTTCCCTAGGGATTAATAAAGTATTATCTATCTATCTAGTAATATTAACCTAATGTACTGCAGAGCCTCCTGGTGTGAACAGCCATTGTGCACTGGATTTCTACATAGTTCCAATGCTATTTGATCAGGGTAAAAACATCCTGTGTTTTAAAAGCACCTTTTACCCATCCATCCATTTTTTAACTGATTTTTCCGATTGAGGGTCTGGGGAACCAAAGCCTATCCCGACAAGTAACAGGTGCAAGACAGGGTGCACTTAGACGGGACACCATCCATCTCAAGGCACACACTAACACCTACAGTAGGACTCATTTTTCCAGAAGCCAAATAACTTCCCAGTGTGTTTTTTAGAACTGCGAGAGGAAACCAGACAACCTAGACGAAACCCACATAAACAAAGGGAAAATTTGCAAACTCCACACAGACAGCACCCCAGGTCTGGAATCAAACCCAGGGCTCAAGTGCTATGAGGCAGTGATGCTAACCACTGTGCCACACTGCAGCCCAGAATCTGCTCTTCGATATAACAAAGTCAAAATTAATTATACCTTCTCAGAAATACCAGTGTATGTGATACACTACAGTTACTATTACAGTTCTGATTTCTGATAATGCAAAATGCCAAAAATGTCTCAAAGTGCCCTCCCTCGTTATTCTAAGAAAAGTGTTTCTACAGCTCAGTTTGTATCTCTGCTGACTGTCGTCACTCTTCTGCCTACAACCTGATTTAAAGGGGAGCAGCTTCCTGTGGTCTCAGAATGAGCACCGCAAAACACAGGGTCATAGGTTCAAAAAGCCATTTAATTACTCGAGGGGATTGTTTGAAAAGGGGGCACGTAAAAGTCAGCTCTCTTAAATCGAAAGACGAAATGGCTTTGAAATGAAATTCAAATTGTAGTTTCATTGCATCACACAGTACTACTGCAGATCTACTGTTTAGAAACAGCTGAAGAAAAATAAAAAAAAAACTACTTGTGTTACATCTCTAGGCAGCAAGCTGAGCAATGAGCACACATACTATTACAATTCTGCCCTTAATCCCTGTCCCTTAGCATGAGTAAAACAAAAAGTGGAGTTTTTCCTTTGTCAGTTTGTGCTTTTTAATAGAACAGGAAATTATCACACTTATCAAGAAAATAATGCTTATAGACTGAAGAGATAAGAGAGCCACTTGGGAAGTGAGATAATAATATAATTTCTTGTTTTTGTATTTTTGCAAACTATGCAGTCCAGTGTCTTGAAATTGGCTTTGCGCTCAAATATATAAAGATGCTGCCTGTCCTTGGTCAGTAAGATAAAGGGATATGTATTTGGTAAGCTGGCTGAACGCCCAGAACATGAAAAGAACTAACTGTTGTCCAGTCTGCAACTTACAATAGATATAATTAATTGGCAGGTGTTGCTGTCTTATCATTTGTTTAGAATGTGTCATAGTAACTCTTTTTGTTTTAAGGTATAAAGGACCATCTTCACCTTCTTATTTTTTAAGTCTGGTGGTTGCAACCCGGACTTCCATATGCATATGAAATAAACAGACTTTTGCTTCACAGACACCTGAACTTTGTCATTTGTATGACACAACAATACTAAAGAAATTGACAATTGGATCTGTCTTTACTAGTAGTAATCATCAATCTAGTGTCGTGAATCACATCTCATTTCAGTGAGCCATTTCACCAGCTAAAGGGTGCAGATTTTCTGCCATTTAAAAGTAGGGACAAACAGGAAAGAAAGTCTGGGTTGAAAAATTAAGTATATTTTGAATATTTTAATTTTGTACTTTATTTTGAATACAAAAAAATGCAAATTGTAAGTCCAGAAATTCCTGTCCTTTCTAATGATAACAGAAAGTATTTTCTGGTCATCTCAAAATTCTAGGTCTGGGATTTTTGGTGATGAAAACATAACACATTTCTGCACCAGCGAGTATAAGCACAATGTGTAGCTTAACTTTTGTCAGTCTGGCCATTTTCATAGAATGGGAAGTTAACACCTTTGTCAAAAATAATTTAATTCTTAATAATGTGGTTTTACAGGAAGTGAATCAGATTAGAACACCGAATAGTTATAGATGATGTTTTGTGAATTGAGAAAAAAACAAAAAGGTATTTCAGACTCCTTGACCTTAATGTTTTACCATCTGACAATTGAGTTTGAGGTGAGAAGTACAGACTATTTTGTAAAGCTAAAAAGAGAGCTGGCGACATTATCAAAAGTTAATACACCACAACCCAGTGCAGTGCTCTTATTCACAGATAATATTGCACAGTTTTAAACCTACTGTATTGTCAGGTGAGGAACTCTGTTTTATGCGGTTTGGTTTGGATATCACCCCACATGTTTCAGACTATAATGTGGAATTTGAATGGTTACTTGCAGAACATGAATGAATATGGAGGAGGATATACTGATATACAGTACCGTAGAGTCTGAAGTCATAGTGTTCACTTTCTGCGTAACCTACACACTAAAGGGGTGCCCTACTTACATTGTTAAAATACTATATAGATTTATCAAGTCCATCCCAACCCCCTGCATCAAGGGATCAGTCTCTTGTTGTGGGCTTGTCACTTCTTGGGCAGTATAATCTGGACACTTGATAGTGTCTGAGATAGTAGCTTACCGTACACTGGCCGATCATCTGCTTAATAAGAATGTCACTGATATTAAAGCCTATTGGTTTAATGCTCTTTCCTTATTCCCAGGCAAGTATAGAGGTTCTTTCTCCTCCAGAATAAATTGATGGTGTGCAAAATCTAAAGAGAAATGGAAAAACAGGGGATTTACAGAGCATAGAATTAATTCCACCACAGAAGCAAAATAACCCATTCCTAGACTTCAGACTTGTGTTATATGATTAAACTTTCAAAGTAGTTTGCTGAGAAGACCAGAACACAGAATTAAAAAAAGTGGAAGGTTGGTCTTATTTTTTTGGCTGTGGGTCAGATCAAGTAACAATCGTGCCAAGTCAGCATCACCGGTGTGATGGGAAGCTTGTTCCACATACCCACCACTCACTGTGTACAGACTAACTTCCTGTTCGTGCCTTAGGTGTCACCATGGCCCTTGGCAGCATAGAAAATGGAATAGTCTCTTGCACGTTAAAGATGGTATGAGCTGACCACTGGTAGTTCAGGCGAGGGCTGGGTCGACCAATCTGAAGGTAGTCTTCTCCCGCTTCTACAAGGTGGTGCTCGAGTCTCCACACACATAGACAATGGAATCACATATGTGCTATGGTTTGCTTTGGTGCAGGTTGATGGCAACCGGACAGGGATTCTCAGGAAGACGAATAACAAAGTGAGTCTCTACGCCTCGGCAAAGGAGGCCAAACTTGGTCCTGGAGAAGCTCTTGTCCTTCCCAGTGTCAAACCTGAGGAGTCAGGGATCTATCAGTGTTCCCTCTACGCAGTACTGGGGCACCGAAATCAGGACTCACTCATCACTTTGAAAGTGGAAGGTTTGTAAGTAATATCATATAATAAGACCACAGAGCAGCTCCTATATTGGGAAAAAACTTCTTTGGACCGAGTATCTATTTGAACTGCTTTGCAAATACACAATGGTGATTAGAGAACAGTATGAGGGTCTTTCGTACAGATATAACAAGAGGCACTACTTCATAGTTCAAGCTTCATAATCTTGAATGACGGACAATCCTACCGAAGGCTGGCTGTAATCAGTCTGAAAGATATTGGGGAGGTAAGATGTGAAGACTCCACTGTTTTGTTACAGAATCTTAGAAAGACCCAGACAGACAGCAATGACTTTGTACCTCATACTGTGAGCTAGGAATGAATCAGAACTGATTGCAGAGCTTTCAGGGAGGAAAGACAGTATAGTGTGAGACTGACCTGCCTTGCTGTTGCAGTTGTACAGTACATGGTGGTACAAATATTTGCCCTGTTCCTGGCATAAGAAACATTTATTTACAGTAACAGGCCAGTAATTACTGTTTGTGATGGGGTGTCTCCTCAGAGTGTGTGACGTCCATCATGTCCACCACTGTTCCTGTTCAACAGCGGATCACAACTGTCTTGACTGGGGAAGAGAACTCCACTGAGCTGTGTGACCAGGTGATACTGCTGCCATCCTTTGTGGTGGTCTCTGGTTTCACAGCTGTGGGCCTGCTGAAGACAGCACTTTCCTTTGCCTGTGTTGCGGTAAGTGCAGCCTAGGCGATGCTCAGGTTCTACTTAAGACATGTCCTTTGTCAGTTCCTTTGTCAGGTCTTAAAGGAAATAGATGTCTGCTGCTGCTGATTTACAATCAGGGGTCCAGAGAACTATGAGGGTCCCTAGAACTTCATTGCAGATATTAAGGCCAGCAGTCATCTGCATTTCTAACCCCAGACAGATCAGTAGTCGCAACACAATTCTTCAATTTGACATTCTTTTTTAAAGCTTTGATGGGATCTTTCAACCATTCATCAGGTCTTTTAACCAGATCGGAGCTTCCATAAGTTTTTTTTCTCTACTCACAAGCAACACATCATGAGTTATTAACGAAAAGCAATAGCTACAAGGCAAACCAAAGAACTGAAACCAATTTATGAGTTCAATCTCTTAATCCTTTTTTAAGATCAAATATGGGTTCAATAATGTAACTGAGAACTCAGCTGGGAAGAAAGCCAACAGCTCTGGGGGTCTCCAGGACCAGGATTAGGCACTACAGAATTAGTGCACTGTATCACTTTTTCACATATTCTCCTTTTGTTATTCCAAGAATTAATTGCATAGATCAGAGCTGCCTCATGGGATTTTAAAATTGTGTGTATATTTGTATTTTTCACATTCTGGGTCTGTCTTTTTTGGACTATTTAGAAATACTGAAAGACACGTCTAGATCAGAACACTTCTTACTGAAAAAAATTGAATACTGTAGAGGAGTTTAGAAAGCAAGAGCTCATTCACTGTGCAAGAAACAAGGTACAAATGCTCCGGGTCACATGACCCTCTTAGTTTTGCTACCCTACCATTGTCACATGTGCTGTTCCTTCCTTAACCCTGTTCATGGCGTCTGGTGTTCCTTCACTCTTAATCAAGCTTCTGTGTCTAAATCAGGGCAAAGGATTTAAGCAAAGGGCAAAGCAAAAAGACCCAAATTCTGGAGGTGTTGATAAAGTGATGCTCCTAGAAGATGTAGAGATTACTCACTTATACTATTACCCACTTTTACATTTATAAATGTTGTGAAAACCAAGTTCAGAATGTTAAATGTACAGAAGAACGCAGGATCTTAAATTTAACTAGAAAGCATATGTCTGCAATGTTGATGTTTCTAAAAACATGTTTATTTCAGCTTAAGGTTTTACGTTCTACGTCAGAATTGTTCCATGGATGTTTGGGAAGGCAGAAATGGTTTGTAATTTGCACTGTGTGAGCTCCCAAGACATTTTACTTTCCTCTCACATGATGTTGATAATTGGCCGTGACTATTGGAGAGGTGTCTGATGGGAAGGACAAGTTCTCGAATTCTGGCTCTTGTTGTCACGACATGTCATTCAGGTTCAAAAGGCTACTTGCAGTGACAAACACTGAGCATTCTTTGTCCCCCCTTCACATTCTGACTCTATTTTTTATTTTGTTTTGGCTGCACTCAGGTATTTCTGAAGATCTGCGAGAAGCGAGAAAAGAGGATGGAAAGACAATATTGGAGATAGAGTGGGCATGGCCTCAGGACAATGTAGACACTAGTCTCATCTAGCACAGTCACAGCCAGCACCGACACTGGAGTCAACAGCAAACAGAATGGTCAAGCCCTCGGAAGACAATGAGCTGTGAAACAGGAGATGAACAGTTGACACACACATGAAAAGCCAGGACAGGCAGAGGGGAGACTGTGGTCTACTACACAGTGATGAAACTCATCCTCTTTTTTTTTCAATACCTTAAAACAGTCATATCCAGGTGACCCCCCTGGCAAATTTAAGACATTTCCATGAATATTATGCAAAACTTCCCACAGGCTGGTTACTTTAAAAATATTGTAGGCTGTGTGGCAAAACAATACAGAACCTCCTCAAAACTCTCAGTTAAAGACAGGACATCATTGATATACAGTTCTTTTGTTTTTTCACAGAGGATGAGTGTAACATTTGCATTCTTTTTGTCTGTGCTTAGCAGCTATATTAGTGTCATGGTAGTCTGAAATTATATTGTGTAGGTTGTGTGGGAATGTAAATATTACGATATTACTAATTACAGTAACATTATTACATTGCAGTCTGAATAAATATTACTAAGGTTTAACTTTGTTTTAGGATTCTATTTATTAGTTTCTTTTAATCTCATCTGTAACTTTTAATACTGTTTTCAGAATGTGTATACTAAATAAACTGTATATGTTGTATATACTGTACACTGTATTGTGTAACATGTAGTTGCTCATTAAACTGTGCAAACAGTAATTGTTTAAGTCGCTTTAGATAAAGACGTTTTCAAAAAAGCTCTTACGACACATATGGATACGTATTCGGATTACTGTTAGGAACTTATTTTCTTCTGCAGAATCTTCTTACAGAACACGAATGAATGGGAGAGTCTTATGAAACACGAATCCCCCTGTAGGAAAGATATCTCCACGCACCAATTCTCCACACTTTTACGCAGAAATTAAGGAGGATCTAGACCGTATTTATTCCGACACATAGCTATTAATATTATAAAGATATAATTGTTAGTCACCTGACGTAAACAGTTTCAGATTTATTTCATTTTCTGTACTACGGCTATTAAATCAAAACTGTGACCTACAGTATCCTGCTAATCGCTATTGTTCTTGTTCCTATTAATATTCTACTCGAACTGATTGATTTCGAATGGTAGTTTACGATTAATTGGTAAGTTATACTATAACTTATAGCTTTGATTTTTTTTTATAGACGAACACGAACTTGCCGGCTTATCAGTTCCGTACAGTTATACATGTACTGTATATAGGAACATTCAGTTTATCTCCAATTGCAGCGCCAACCTGTGGCCACTACGTACCAGTAGCTCTAAGATGGAAAGAAGAGAAATGCTTAATTAACATACTGTAAGCCACCCTAACTGCTCCAACCTGTACACGTTCTGCAAAAGAGATCTGCAAAGCTCAGTCTACTACATGTACTCAGAATACTCTTCTTGCACAATAATTCTACCAATACTTTTTCACAAGTCGTATTATGGACAGAATCATAGTTCCATGTCGATAGACGGGGGGAAAAAAATCAGCAAATCCGAATTTTCCTTTGCGAAACTGTGAAGCAATAATTGCACATGCTTTGGCTGAACATCACGGGCCGTTAACGTGAATTTTCTAAAACAACTGGTAAAATTGTTATCATCAGATAACGTCCGGCGATCAAGAAACTCTTTGTGTTCCGTCAGTATCCGGAATTAAGCTGGCTATCCCAAACTTGTATCAAACACCAAGTCTAGATGACAAATAAGGCCGCCTTCATAGAACCGTGTGAGCATCAACTCATGAAAGAAAGCATCGGTTTATTCCAGACTCCATATTGCTGTAATGGTGGAGTGAATCCAGCAATGTCAAGAAGCAATATCAAGACAGTTTCTCATTAAACACATCTTGAAGTGTCAAAACTCAGTAAGTGGTCTTCAGAAAGGGTTACTATGGTAGGGCGTGTTTTAAAATGGCCTGGCCAGGTAAGATGAACCATGGGAGATGGTCATGGTCACCTTTCAGGTTTTTGGCTGGAGCTGTAAAGTAGGTCGTACTGTCAGTCGAAACGCAATCCTTACTGGCCAAGCACGGGGTCCCATCAATGCGAGGCTTCTCGTCGAGTTAGAGAAGCGGCTCTTTAGTTTGGACATAACCAGGTGTGACCAGAAGATGTCCTTCGTGTACAGACTAAGGAAAAAGTCTGTGACCAGTCTGTGAAATTAGTACGGCACCCCAACAACCCCTTCAGAAAGTAAAGCGCTTTATATTAGGGAAATATGATCTACACTCTACAGTCACTCTACAGTCTCTGAACTAACGTCGTAGAAAAACTGTTTTTTTTATTGGAATTGATTAGGTTTTTATTTTGCTTTTGGGGGGGATCTACAATGCCGCAAAACTACACAAATGACAGTAGTAATCTCTTTATGCCGCCATCTTCACATTCTCTATTTTGTACGGCAAACCTTTTGTCAAAATAGAAATTGAAAATGTTTTCCAGCCTGTTTTGCAGCGTGACCTACAGATTTTTAGATCTGTAATTTGCAGAGGCCTCGGCTATAATGGGGGTGGGAGGAGATGAAAAAGAAATTGAGTTCACAGCGTACTTTCCGTCAATAATCAGGCAGTCGGAAGAAGTGGAACTGCGACCGAAAATGCCCCCGTCAGCCGACAGCCAGAGCCACCTGCCTCTCGTTCGCCCGTCATTTCTCCCTGCAATGATTTACACAAGCGCAACATTCACTGGAGAATAAACGGTACACATATTTATTCCTTCACATATAAATTCATTTGGGGAGGGGGGTAACCTCATCAAAAGCATCGTAAAGTGATCGAAATACACTGCACAGTACTTGCGAGGATTTTTTTTTTTGTTTCGTTTGAAGACATGGAAAGTTTGAGAGTACCTTGAAGTCGACAGGGGGGTCTCAGGAGAGCCTGTGCGAAACGTGTTCTGCAGCCCTTATGGCTTGTCCTTGCTGTACGCCTCTGTAGTGCAAACATTTTATTAATATTGGTGGTTACACTGAGACGATTAGTATTAGTATTACATTTACATTTTTTAGAAAAGATCTCCGTCTAGTAATATTGTACTAATTCCTAGAGAATATGCACAAGCGATTTCTTCCGTTTCTTGGTCGAAATCAATTCCTTCTTCCTGCTGAAGCATTGATTTTTTTATTTTTTAAACCCACAAACGGTTCTTTACATAAAGATGATACACTTATGTCCGCGGGACCAAATGGCACCCCGCAGTCCTGGTTCATAAATTGAATTACCTCAACTTCACTTCGCCCAGCGCCGGGGAAGGAAAATGCCATCTAATCATACCGACATGGAAGGGTTGGTGTGGTGTGTGGGTTTTTCTGCCTGATGGATGACTTTAAACATTGCGAAGAGGTTTGTCCTCCCAGGTTCCAATTTGTTCAAGCTTCTGTTGTGAAGGGAGGCGGTTTTATTCCTCCACAAATAACAGAGCTTGTGCAAAGCTCCGTTTGCCCTCAGATGGGACCGACATTTTGGTTGGGTTTTGTTACACTTTGTTCCATATTTTCCGCTGAGACCTGTCGTTTTTTATTAGTTTTTCAATCTGTCTGGTAGGCTACGTTTTACTCATATTTAACTAAAACAACGGCAAAACGTGGCTACACTAGTAGATCAAAAAGCATTCTAATCCTCATCCACCTACAGAAAGATAACAGCAGATAGACCTGTAGCGCATCTTATACAGCATAATAATATAACTATACCAAAAGTGGCTTGTGCCTTATGTGTTGCACAACAATCTGTCTGAAGACTTGCAGTTATTTTTCAGGAACTGTAGGATAATGCTCTATTCAGGTAACAAGTGAGACAGGTTAAACAGCCCTCAGCAAGCAAAACATTGTGTACTAGCGTGTAATCAAGACTTTCTGAGGAATAATATCACCCAATGAGAACATTCAGGAATTTTGTTGAGGAGTTCAGGCTTAGAAATTTAACCCGCCTGGATGTAAGGTCAAGACAGTCAGGACCCCCAGACAGAGAGAGAAGTGACCGAGAGCTGCCAGGTGGACATGGGCTAGGTGCAGAAAGATACATGTGAGCAAGAGAGAGGCTTATTGCGGTATGGGTGAAGAAGTGACTTTACAAATTAGAATAGTGTCACAATCGCTATGCCTCCTCTTAAGGGCGCTCCAGCCCTTCCTCGTTCTACCTCATTCCCCACACCTGTCCCTTATTCCAGCCCCTCTTTAGTTCCAACTTAAAAGCCAGGCGTAGACGTCACCCGAGGTTCCTTCTCCTGCATGATTTTATTCCTACTGTGTCTTTACCAACCGGATCGTGTCATCTGCATAGGGCCTGGAAAGAACTTCTACGTGACAAATAGTGTTAGGTGAAGGAGATAGTTGCCGTCCTCTCTCCTGAACTCTCATTAAAAACTCTGTTTGAAAGGCTGGGGGAGTTGAGTGGGGATTGAGGCAGATTTGAAGAGCTGGAAGGATCGAAGTTTGGTTGCATTTTAGCCTCTGAATTACTAAAGGGTTGTGCTCAGATAGCTATTTTCCCATCTCTTCCCTGTTTTTAGGCTGATGTCTGGCAAATTACACTGTCCTCTTGCTAAAAAAAGCTTGCTGTGTGCTTTTGATGTTCTGTTTTTTTGTCTTTTGCTACTGATTGATTTTTGTATGATCTATATGGAGGCAGCATAGATAATTGGGAGGTTCAAGACCCTGCTGCAGACACTGCTGCTGTACTGTAACTTGAGCAAGGTATAGTACTTTGGTTAAACCTGGCTACCCAGGTCTGTGAACGGGGACCAGTTTTTGCTCAGTTTAGGCTTGGCGGTGGACTGGGATCCCATCCAGGGTGGATTAGTTTGCTTACAATGATGGAAACCAGCCTAAGCTCTGACTCCATAAGCAGAGATCTGAAAATTATCTGACTATATGGTCTGTAGCAGATATCTCCAGCCCTAGTCTGACAGCACTCCTCTGCCTCTTTCACTTTGCTATTACAAGTGACCACCCAGTTACTTAAATTAAAAAAAAAAATATGTTTCAAGGAGTCCAGATTTAAAAATGATCTCCAGACACTGCCTGAAGAAATCAAGAACTGGGTATGCTGAGTGGCTGAAGCAGTGAAGGTGCTCACTTTGAGAGCCTGCTGTGCTCGGTGACTCAGGTGAAACTGGTGTGTGGTTCTGGCAGTGTCAGTGAGAAACAAACCACCTCACCATTCAGGGCCACGAGCTCCTGTCTGCTATAATGGGGCTTTCAGCTTGTCCCAAGACGAGTGGCTCTGAAAGGCTCAGAGTGGGTGAGAGTGGCATGACAGGCTCTCCTCATTCTCCACATGCACTCCTAGACTTGTTGCTGTGAACTGAGAGACAAAAAAGAGTGATTTCAAATTGGGTGGCTATACAATGAAAATGACAAAAAAGGTTTAAGACCTCTGTAGTTTTGGAGTTATACGGGCTAGATGGATAATTGCTGGCACACAGCAAAAATAGTACAAGTTGGCACTCAAGAAAGAATAAAAAAGGCCTTAAATATTTTAACTTTTCACTTTGCATTTGTCTCTCATTTAACTGTTCTGTCTAGGGGCTATTTCTCCTGTGTTGTATAATGTGCTTGAAATTTGTGCCATCTCCTTCAATGTAATCTTTTATGATTTTAAGACATGCAGATAGAGCAAAACTGAAAAAAATATGAACATTAAGATGTTTTAGTGTTAAGAACATAAGAA